ATCTTAAGCCCCAATTTAGTACATCTGCTCATGTAGTAACGTGCTTTGCACTAATTTCGAAACTATCTTGTAGTTATACTGTACTTTTCCGGACTTTATATTGTAGTAATGACGTCAGCGGGTGGTTATGTTGTAACACCGAACCTTTTCTCTCTTTATTCCCCCAATTTCAACGCCGTGATCTCGCTCGAAATCCTCTTCGGAATGAAGTCGAGTCAGTTTTCTCTTTCCGTTGACCTCAAACTCATGGATTCTGACAAACTTTTTTTTACTTGCAATTTTCGGGTTTTTAAATTTGCAAAAAAAGGTAATAGTGAGTGATTTTAAAGTTGCTAAGGAGCTTTGTATAGTCTAGGCTATGATATGGCTTGTAAAGGTTAAGAATGAAAAGTATGGAAAGGCTAAAGTGCAGTTTTTGTAGGTCTAGCTTAGGCTGCGGTAATGGTGGGGCTTATATTATATTAGGGTAAGCTAGAGTAAAATAGGTTCGAATAGGACGGGGTGGAGTAGAGTAGGTTGTAGTAATTCAGAGTTGGGTAGGGTAGATTAAAGAAGGTTATGGTAGAGCAAGGCAAGCCGGAGTAGAGTAAGGTAGGGTAGCGTAGAGAAGGGTAGGATAGAGTAGAGTAAAGTATTTTGCGTTATAGTAGGGTAAAATAGCGAAGGGCAAGGTATAGCATATTTTCTTTTTTATACAGTGTTTTTTACTATCAAAGTCAAATTTCTCAAATCGCCTCTTTAAATAGCGTATTTAACGTCTATTCTATTAATCATCACTATCACTTCCTAACTTTTTTCTTGAAACTTTTAAAAATGCCGAAAAGTCATCGAAAAACCGGTTCTCCACTGTGATCGGAACTTTTTTGTTTCCAAGAGTTTTAATATCAATCACATTTATTCAAATCTATTTAAATTGTCCCCTACTGGGTGTGCAACTCGAGTAGAAGAGATTTACAGTTCTGGAACGGGTTTTTTCTCTGGGCGGATTAAGGGAATTTTGCGGTTAGGTCAGCGCTTTTTGAGGTTCTGTGACTTCTGCTACTTAATATAGTCAAAAGTAACATTCTGTCATGAAAAAGTAGGGATTTTGTCATTATAAAATGAGTTTTGTTTTTGATTTTTGGCTTTAATTTAATAAGAAATGGCATTTTCTAAAAAGATTTGCAAAAATCAAAACTTTGGTTGTAGATGCCATTTTTAACTTATCGTATCTTCACGCTATATAAAGTTTTCCACCAAATAAAAGATTGTACGATAGCCAATAATATAAGCTTTAATTTCACTCCACAACTAACCATATCCATCATCTACTTTCCGTTTTATGATGCATAAACTTTCAAACCCCTTAGTCATTCACCGATCCCTTCGCAAAACCACCGCATTAACCAGTAGCGTTGTTACTGCGTTAACCAGTTGCGTATAAGCGTATGTATTCGTATGTCTGTAATCCACACAGATATTCGTGTCGAAATTCGTAAACCGAAAGTTTGCGGATATTTTCATAAGCGCTTCAAGAGTGGCAGGGGCTGAAGTGAGGGGGATGATCAAGAAAGAAGCGCCGCTTCCATTATTATTCAGACTTTTTAATTTTTTGCATCAACGAGCTGAGAGAATGAATGATGGGGGTGGTTTTTTGAATGTTATTTGAAATGATTGTTTAGCAAATGTGGAAATTGGGTTTGGAAATTAATAAAAATAGCTTTGGGTAGGGGACGGTGGGGGTAGGTAGGAAGAGTAGGGTCGGTTTGGAAGCGTTTTAGGTGGGTTAAAATTTGAAAAAAAGATGAACGTTTTAAAAATGTTATAAACTGTGTTGAGTTTTCAATTGTTATTTGATATGGTTTTTAAAAAATACTATTTGGACTAATTATATCTTCACATGTTCCTAATTGTTTTTGGTTATTTAGGGGCGTTTCAATGACTGGGGTTAAACTTTAAAGAAGAACTATCCTTTTTTATGGTTTTGGGGTCTTATATTTATTGTTTTTTACTATAAGAGTGCTACGTTTTACTATACAGTGAAACTAACTTCAATATGCTTCTTGATAATATAACACTTAATTTATAATGGCAGCTTTCTGAGTCCATTTTGCAGTAGAACTTCTATAAAAAATATCTGGATAGTGAGACACCCTGGTTATAAGTACATGTTTGGACCAGTTCTTTGAGTGACATACTAAACTACGATAGTATCACATAGAAAATATTAGCTTCTTTCGTCTATATATTAAATATTTTTGAGAAACGACTTCAAGGTTTATTTTTTTGTATTTTTTTCTATTTTTGTCTTTCTTTTTTGTTTTATCATATAACTTACTATTGTCATTGAATTCTCCAATTTAATCTCAAAATCTATTTTATAATGTAAAATACGGCTTATAGAGAGAATAATGTAAAATACAACATTTTTGCGTTTGCAGCAAATTTAATTTTTAATTTTAACGATATTTTTCTTGCCCTCCTACCCCTTCCCCTTCATTCTTTCTGATTACTCAACCGTTACTACTTTACTTTACTATGCAATTGCGACTGATAATTGAGCTAATTACTCCCAACCTTCTTTTGAGGATGTTTTTATAATTGAGCCTGACTCAGTAACGCTTACTCAACGACCTTCAAATTACTTTTCAAGATTTACTTTTACTTTTCTCACGATACGACGAAAGGTGAGGTCGGGGTAGGGAATTAGGGATTCGGTAATTCCCGGGGATTTAAAGCGTCGAGACTTGACGAAATTGGGCGAATTTTAGGGGTTTTACGTAAAGTTTTGGTAAATTAGCGATAAAATGGAGTGGGAGGGTTTAGGGAGGGTTTATGATGATTTAGTGGAGTATGGTGAGAAAAGTATGCTTAACATATTGTAAGATATGGTAAGGTAGGGTAGGATATGGTAGAGCAGGGCAAAGCAAAGCAAGGTAAGGTAAGGCAAGGTATTTTTTTATGTTACAGTAAGTAGTACCTCTGCATAATAATATTGGTTTAGACTACAGAAAGCATTCGAATAAAGAGTAACGTCTGGCATGATAGGGTAGGACAGGGTAGACCAAAGCGGTTTAGGATAGGATAAAGTAAGTTAGGGTATGGCACAACAGGGCAAGGCAGTGTACTAAATGACAGGGCCGAGTGTTGTAGGATGCAATAGTATATGAAACATATAATATACAGAACACGTCTTATTTCTTGAATCACGTTAATTGATGATTCCAACGTATTTTAAAGATCCAAACTGGTTTCAAAGGTTTCTGACCTTCTCCTTACAATTAATGCATCCGCAAAGTTTTGACATTCTCATCGTATTTGTTGGGATCTGTTAGCTGTAGTGTGTGACAACTTTTTATTTTTTGAAAATTTATTATCAGTGGGGCTCGTGCGGGGTCCAACTATACTGCAGTTGAATAAGGCGTGTCAATGTTGTAAAATACGTGTACTAAACTCGTGATGTATCTAAACATTGGTATATGTATTTTTAGTTCCTTTAGTATAGTACCTTTAGGTAAAGTACTATACCTTAGGTAAAGTATTATACTATTTTCTTTAATAAAGTACCCTTAGGTAAAACATACATTTTTATTTAATTTTATGATATTTAAAATATCTTTTGCTCTAAAACAAATGAATTTTTATTAGACTTGTAAGGTCAACTACAATAGAAACATCACATTTGTTTAACGTATCGTTTCTAGGGCACGGTATTGTTTTCTTTTTTACTACGTATGTAATACGACCTTATATTTATTGAACTGCGGTTTGTTGTAGGTTTTTCTCTATTTTTTGGTGTGGTTTGGCATGGGTCACTTCTATTCGAGATTTTTTTTATATTGTCTAAATCGTATCGTACTGTAGCCTTACCTTAACTTACTTTTATTTATAAAGCATTGCATTTTCATGTCCAAACGTATACATGACATTCTTTTGCTTTACTACGTTTTTTACCATAGCTTTAATTTACCTTATCATTGTCTATCCCTATTTTACTTTAGCTGTACTTTACTGAGATACTACTCTACAATAGCTCTATCATGAGATAACTGTAATTTACCCTGCCTTTCCTTACGCTAATACTACCTTGTTTTGTATCTACCTTAACTATACTTTACCCTATCCTAATCTGATCTACCCTACCTTACCCTACCCTACTTTACCCCTTTACCCTATCCTATTATACTCTATCTTACTCTACTTTAATTTACTCTACCCTACACTACAATAATCCTTCCTTAACAAGTTCTAATTTAGCTTGTCTTTACCGTGCGGTATGTCTACCTTAACCCTACATTGTCCTATGTCTGCCTTAACTGTACACTGCCGTAAGTTTACCTTGTATTTCTATCCTATCTTAGTCTTACTTTACCTCAAAAATAACTTCCTGGCGAGTATTGTTGTTGACTCTACTACCTAACCGCACAAACTAATACTTTTGTTATGTTTTGGTGAAAGTTGATAAAGGAAGAGGGGATTAATTGATAGTTTTTCATCGCTGACTTCCGGTTTATGCATTAACGAAAAAGGGCCTTCTTTGCGTAACTCGTCGCGTTTCGTTCGAAGCTCAGACTAATCAAGATCTCTTCCCTTAACTTTACTTGTTTCAGAGCGAAAATCGATTCTCAACAGAGGTTTTTGGGTTCAACTTTGGTTTTGGCAGATTCACAGTGAAATATTTGATTCTACAGTACTATTTTAGGGTCTACAGTGGTATTATTGGGCCTACAGTAATATTTTTGGACTTATATTAAGATTATTGATTCTACTGTAATATTTTTGGCCTACAGTAACATTTTTCAGTCTACAGTAATATTTTGGGTCCACAGTATTATTTTTAGATCTACAGTAATCTTTAGAGCCCTGCTGTAACATCTTTTGTAAATTCAGACGAAGATACGATACTACATACACAAATATTCTTCACATCTACTTATTCTCTTCGTATTTTACTATATCCAACCACAATGCCTGAATAACCCACTCTACAGTTCTCCTATCGTACCTTTCAACTACCCAAAATGTCTTCCGAACATTACTGTAACCCATCTACCTCAACCACGTCTCCAGATGCCAATTCTTCGTCAGAAGCACCGTTCAACAAAGATTCCTCTTCAGAATCCCCATCCAACTTTGGGAATCAGAATTCATCGTCCGACGAGTCGACTACAGCTTCATCGTGCTCTGAATTGGATATTGAGGATGACCGGCTAAGGACATGGGCTTTGTGTCCTATTGGCTATGACAAGGCTATCATTATAACAGTTTTTATTGCAATATACGCTTCGGTGTTCTTGTTTTATGCACAACATCATCTGGTGGTGCTATTGGTTATGACTTCGTAAGTTTATAATGTAGTAGGGTTGGACTGAAGCAAAGATACTGTAGGGCTCTGCTAAGGCAAAGCTACGGTAGAGTTGAGATAGGACAAAGCTACTGTAGGGTTATGTCAAGGTAACATAAGGTAAGGTAGGGTAGAGTAGGATAGTAGGGTAGGGTAGTGTGGGGTAGGGTTTAGTATGATAGGATAGGGTAGAGCCACGCACAATACAAGGCTATTACAAAACAATTTCAGGTTGATTATGTTATGGGTGGTATGTCTGTTCACAATGGGTATGCTATGTGTGTTGTACATGATGTTCCGGATATCAAAGATGGAACTTGTTGATGATTCTTCTCAACTCGACGCTATTGTATCTACGATTACAGTGTTGGAGACCGTAGTAATAAAGCAAGATGCTATGGACGAGCCTGTTGAAGTAAAAGTGTAAATTACAGTATGGTGGCATAGTAAAGGGCCTTACCTCATATAGTAAAGGGTCTTTTACATCTTACAAGAAATCATGGTGACCTAATGGGTTCTTATACTACTCAACCATATCAAATTATATATGTCTACCTACATTAATATACGTTTACTCATCCCGTTGGGCCCCCGTTGGTCTGGTATCTTACACATAATGGTGTGATCTACTTACTTGTTGTGATTTCAAATTGTTTTCCGGGTCAATTATCTTCGCAATTACCGTAATCCCCATGTAAAATCAATGATAATCAAAATAAAATTCATAATGAACTTCATGTTTATAACGTTTTGTACTGTTTACAACAGGGCTGGGCGAAAATTTCGTTTCGTGTTTCGTTTCGCGCGAAAGAGGCACTTTCGTTTCGTTTCGTGTTTCGCGAAACAAATTTTGTTTCGGAAACGAAACAAAAAATAATGTCTCAACCCGAAAACCAACAAATGTTAAAGATGTTTGGCATTCTGTTTTATACTGTTGAAAATTGTTTTTATTTTAATTTTAAACATATTTTGGCATAAACAAATGTCGAAATACAATCCCTTTTTTAACGAAGGAGACTGTATAACATGAAAGGCAAAAGTGCGAAACACAACAAATCATTCCTCAACTAGCTCTTTCCGGCACCATTTACAAGGAAAGTGACCGACCTGCCCCGCTCTGATTGACTTCAAACTTTTTATAAAGAAAGATCATGTAAATATAAGATCTTCAGCAAAGTACTAAATCGCGCTTTTCAGGAAATCTCGAGAAAATCGAGATCAAAAAATGACATTTTGAATTTCCCGCCAACTTGGCATTGTGTTTCATGCTGGTAACTTTGTCATTTTTTGACTTTTAATTATTTTACTTTGATATACTAGTAAAATACCTTTAAATAAACCTACATTTTTAAATTTGAAAGCGTATCTTGTCTGGAAAGCCAAAAAAAGTGCTTGAAACACAATGCCAAATTTGCCAAATTGGCGGGAAACCCAAATAATTTAAGTTTAAAACTCAAAAGCGCAAGCTAAAATTTTTTATGTGTACTATTGGTGGAACAAAAAATTCATATAAAAATTTTGAGCTGATTCTGAGCGGGGCAGGTAGGGTACTTTCCTTGTTAATACAGAAACACCCGGACGTATGGAAAGAAATTGTACTGGACGGGGCACCAGCAAAGAAAGAGCGTAATATTCTGGATAATGTAAGTCTTTCAAAACAAGTAGTTCGGTTTATAGGAAAGATTACATTCTTTTTGTAATAAAGCACATCAAAATTCGACAGCAAGGACTGTTTTGACTGACTATCGAAGAAGCATGACAAGTGAGATGCTTCAGAACTAGTTATTCCTTAAGGTTAATACCCATTTACGGCATAAAATTTGATTTTTATGAAGATTTTTAAATAAATTCGTAAATTTTGTTTCGTTTCGTGTTTCGTCTCGCGCGAAAATAATTTACTTTCGTTTCGTGTTTCGCGAAACAATTTTTTTTTGTTTCGCCCAGCCCTGGTTTACAATGCTGTTGGTACTATTAAAAGCTATAGTCGGTTAGGAGGGTAGGTTGGGTAAGGCAAGTTAGGTTAAGGTGTAATAGGGTAGAGTGGGCTAGTGCAGGGTACGGCAGGGCAGGGTAGAAAAGATATAGTAAGTTAGAGTAAAGTAGGGTGGAGTAGGGTTGGGTAAAGTAAATCAAAATAGAGTAAATGTACGGCTCGGCAAAATAAATCATCTTAAGGCAGGACAAAGTAGAGCGTTACATATATTAGATTGTTTAAATAGTTATGTGCTCCCTATCAAATAAAATTTTCGGGGTCAGAGAGCACAGAATCATTTAAACAACCAAATATGTATTATCTGTTACCTAAAATCTCAAAAAAACGATATAGTCCTTATCACATTCACACGTTCTGCCCTGAACCACAAAACTAAAAAAGTTAGTTTACTAAAACTATTTCAAAACTGATAAGTCAAAACAAGTTAGTTAACCACAAATCCTCCTTTTATCCATATCCAATTGAATTTCGTCCAAAGTTCGACCTTTTGTCTCTGGTAGGAAAATGAAAATGACGATCGCTGCCACAATGCATGAACACATAAAGATCAAGAAAGTGAACTCGTCCAGTTGTTTCTAAAATTTCAAAATTTTTTTTAATTTAAAAATTAAAAAATGACGTTTCAAAATTTTGTAATTAGAAAAAAAAATTTTAAATCGAGATTTTGAAGTTTTTAAATTAAAAAATTCATTTTTTTTTCAAAACTTTTTTATTAGATTGTTCAAATAATTCTGAGCCCCTTTCAACGCAAATTTGCAGAATTACAGAGCACAGAATTATTTGAACCACCAAATAGTTCAAAGACTCACCACGACCGGTAGAAAAGCGACTCCAACAATGATTGTGCATACCCAATTCGTAGTCAGGCAGACTGCTGATGCTGATGCTCTGGCTGACGATGGGAAGATCTCACTCACATAGAAAAAGGGAATCGACCCTGGCCCGGTGGCATAAAACATGACATAAATGGGTAGAAAGGCACACGACAGGTACGGTGTTACACCCTCCGCTACTCCATTGTTCTGAAAATGAGTTTTTGAAAAGGGTAGGGTAAGATAGCGCATGAAAAGTTAAGGTAGGACAGATAATGTAAGATAAAATAAGTTAGACTGCGCTAAAGCTAGGATCCTAGTCCGGTGGTATATGCGCCACAGTAACCCGAACATAGCCTTTTCAAATTCAACTTACTGCACAGTACATTGAAACAACCAGTGCCAAACAAGAAAATGCCATTCCAGTCTTTCCAATCAACATCAACAACCTTCGGCCAAAGAATGGCACATCCACCAGATACACCGACACCACCGTCATCAACACATTGACTATGCCCACGCCCAATGAAGCATACACCGAGTCTTCGTCACTTAGCCCAGCCGACCGGTAGATTTCGGTCGAAAAGAACATAGCCGCATTGATCCCACAAAACTGCTGGGCCATCATCAGGAAAGCGGCCAGGAACATTGGCCATCTGTACTCGACGTGGTTTACGAGTGTGATCACGTTCATGACGTCGTAGCTGTCTCTTTGATTCCTCTCGATCTCTAAGAGTTTGCATTCGATCACTCCAATCCTATCACTCCTTCTCAGCTTTATCAGGTCTTCTAGGGTACGGTCGACGTCGTTTTTGAGAACCATGGAGTACCTAGGGGACTCTGGCACGCCAAAGAGGCAAACGCTTTGGATGATGGCTGGGACCACGATTATACCTAAAAATATTGTTCTAGGGATAAAAATACTTGTTCAACTAATTCTGTGCCGCACTCAAAACAAATTTTCGGGGTTAGGAGGCTCAGAATTATTTGAACAACTACAGAAATCCAACCATTATGGCTAAATATATAAACGTCTCCCATGATGTTGCTAAGCATGTCAATATAAGAAAGTTGATAATAATGAAGATATCAACAAACAACATCATATTACGATCAATATTAACATACCAAACAAAAACGGCCACATATGATCACTTCCGAAGAAGAACGGCAAGCCAAGAATCATTGAAATCAAGATGGATATTGTGACTACAAGCTGTGGTAAACTTGAAACACTTCCTCGAAGGCTAACTGGACTCATCTCTGTGAAATACATCGGCACAACTGATGAGGACACACCTAAAACAATATTATTATGATTTTTAACAATTAAAATTGGCTGAAGATTGAATAAAAATATCAGAAAACATGAATTTATACCTAAATTTACTAAAAATATTTTTAAAAACAAAAGTTTATACCTAAAATACATTTCAAAACTCCAAAATTCATACCTAAATTAATATAAAATCAAATTTCATACCTGCATTCAACCCAATCACAAACCGCCCAACATGAAACAACTGATAACACCCTAAAGGTTTGGCCATGCACATCAAAAACGCCACAATCCCCACCAAGATATTGTTGAAATGTAATGTCTTCCTTCGACCAATGTGATCCGCCAACAGACCACTCATCAAGGCTCCGATAACAGCACCAGCAGCAAACAATGAAACTGCCACCCCAAAGATAACATCGGCCGCAATTCTCACTCAATTCCACATCGTAGGTCTCATTATGGTTCTCCACGATAAAGGCTGTGATGTAGACACCTGAAGCGTTGATGACTCCAATGTTGTAGCCGAATTGAAAGGAACCCAAGACGATAACGGCCAATGAGTAGATCAGCTTTTTGGTTATTGGGTTCTGGAAATGAAATTGTTGATAATACCAAAGTTAAAATATGAAAATTGTGTATCAGTTAGGATATGTTTAAAATCACTAATGTAGCATTAAAATTTTCCTTGATTATCTCGTTTTGGTTAAAAAATTAAAGTGTAAAGTTTGAAAAAGTGGGGTACGTAAAACTACAGTAACTTTAAAACGAGAATAAATTTTAGAATTTCATTTAAGATTTCTTTTACCAAACGAATGTTTTACAATTACACAAAATTTCACATCTCTATCTATAAAATGAACAAAGTTATGGTATAAATCATCCAACGCATTACTATAGCAGCTACTATAATATAATTCAAGATTTCACACCAAAAATCAAAAAGCAACAAAAAGATCAATTATACCTCATTCTTCAGTATCCGAGTCTCATCATCGGTTAATCCAGCGATGCCAGCGAGAATACTAGTCTCACTTTTCGACTGTGATTGCTGTGTAGATGCTGTAGTAAGTGCGGTAGATGAAGATTCGGGCGGTTTCACCGCCGGGTCAGTCATTTAAAGCCAGTTTTTTTTGAAAATCAGTAAAAATGAGTACCAAATCAACCGATTTGATATTGTTACATCGTTCTCAATTTAAATTTCGTCAACTAAAAGTTTATTTCGTGATGAATTTCGAAAATAATATTTTGAATTGATGAAAATTTTAAAGAACTAAAGTTTTTGGATAAACCTGAGAATAATTTACACATTTTCTTGCAAAATTCAGCAGTTCACAGTCGGTTTCACTTTATTTCGACTATTTTTACGTTAAAACCGACGTTTCGCGGCGAAAAACGCAAAAAATATGGTTTGAAATCTGCGGGGAATTGGCAAATGTGGTTGAAACAGAACGCTAAAGGAAAAAATAATAAAAAATATAATTTTATAGTTTTATGGGGTTTTCCTGGACCTTTGGATTCATGGATAAATACTAAAATCACAAGGAATTCACACTTTTTTAAATATATTTTTCATTTATCCGAACATGTTGTTTATGTTTACAGATTTGTTATAAAAAACTTGTTTCACGTGCTTGTTTACTAACTTTACATCAAAAACATTGCAATATTTAGAATGGCAGAAGACAGCGACGCGGAAGACAATCAATTGTTCGAGGAATCAGAAGCGACAACTTCTGAAGAAGAAGAAAGCGAAGAAAACTATGATCCGAATGAAGCAGCACAACATTTATACTTGTCGTCGTTGGGAACATTGTCGTACCGGGACACTACTGATTTGATTGAACCTGGTAAGTCTTCTCTGACTTTTTTTGATGTTTAGATATTTCATTTTGGTTATTCTTGGCTACGAATATGAAGTTTTCATCAGCAAAGACGTAAAATATAACTATCATTCACAAAACATGCTGTTTTTGGTCGAAAAGTTTGTAGAAGCGGTTTGTTTTGAGTTTAATTTGCTTGTTTTAGCTTGCGAATTAAAATATCGTGCTTTTAAGCACAATATCAACATTATGAAACTACCTTTTTAATTCTATTGTAATGGTTTAGGCACAGAAGTCAAAGTAATGGTATTCCTAGTGGAAACGATGGTATTACCTTTTGAAGAAATCCCAGTTAATGTCACAGGAGTAATGTACGAAGAAGTGTCACAATACTTACAAAATGGTCAAATTGGCTTCATAACATTGGCGATGCACGACGATGGATCTTCTTCAATAGCACATAATGTTGGAGTCTTGGGTAATTTGACTCGAGTCATAGACAAGAACAACGGATTTGCATTGGTCGGTTTATGTCGACAAAGGTTTGCTGTAGTCAATGAGATTCGTCACGAGAGTATCAGGACTTCTGACGACATTGTTGTGTCATGGGTAAACAGTTTACTGGTGAAGGTTCTTCCGGATACGGAGCCGAATGTCTTGATGATGGATCAAAGCTCTACTGTGGCCAAGTACAAAGGGGATGACGTAAGTGATTTTTATTATATTGAAATTTTTATTATTATTTTTGTCAGAAGCTTTCTTTTATCATGTTTTGACTTATGTTGTAGTAGGCAAAACCACAGATAGCATTGTTAAAATAACTTTTATATTTTTTCAATTTTTAAATAAGCCACTTTAAGAGAAGACAATACTTTGAATACCTATATGGAATACCCAGTCAAATACTTTATACGAACGATGTTGTAAGTGAATATACTTGCTATTCATGACGATTTACAGAGTTATTTTACTGGAAATTTAATCAAATGGTTCTCAAAGTTTTTCTCAGAGCAAAAGCTGAAGAATGAGTTGGAGAAAGTAAGGATTACAAATTAGTTTAGACTTAATATATAGAGATAGGTATGTTGAGGTATATTATATGAAAAAAGCAAAATCGATTTTTAGAAGATATTGAAAATAGTGCTTTTTTAGCTTAGTGTAACTCCATAGAAGTCTATTTTTGAAAAAAAAATGAAAAGCAGACTACTAAAACCGTATTGTAGGGAGTAGTGAGCTTCAGCTACTGGGTAGCCAGATCTTTGCCAATCGACAACTCTATGAAGTATAAGATGCTGGAAGAGTATTCGACATTAGACAGAATAGTTGTGGCCTGGAAGACGGCTCAAAGAATGAACTCTTTTGCTTGTGTCGACTGTAAAGAGGTCAAGTTTCGAATCAATGACATCTTTACAGTAATGCCTTCGAATTTGTCGGCTCAGTTTGTTAATCCACGTAAGTTTGATGGGTTATTTAGTTTTATATCAGGCAAACGTGAGCCTTACGGATGTAAATATATGTAAAATGAGATATTGTGGTACTTGTTACTTGCTGTGCCATTTGTTTGAGAATTTAAGAATAACATTAAGTGGACGTATATCGTCGTATCTTGGTGGTTTGAATTCTCTTTCTTTCCTAAACGAACGTAATACCCAACTCGCCCCGGGTGGTTCACTTTGTACCAACAGTTTCTGGGAGTTATAACCCTGAGCAATTATAGATGGATATGTGCACGAGATGTTCACTTCGCACAAGATGTATGGTATAAGGGTTTCAAGTCATAGCTCATTACAAGACTCTTGGTTCCCTGGGTAAGTTTTGTTTTTTATACTTCTATAGAGTGCTTTATATGAAGTATATAGTTGAATCTTGGTCTAAAAATGAAGAGCAAAAGTATTTTTTGTTATCAGGGTGTTTAAATAATTCTATGCCCCTTTCAAAGCAAAATTTTGTGTTTATGGACAGAGAATTATTTGAAAAACCTAATATTAAACAATACGGCCGCAAAACTAAACTTAAAATAATATACAAACAAAAATGTCTTATAAAATAATGTTTGTAAGTGGTTCTACACAAAAATATAAAAGATAGTAAGTTTCAATGACAAAAAGTGATTGTTTTAGGTACTCCTGGTCGATTCTCAATTGCAATACCTGCTTAAGACACATCGGATGGCTTTTCAAGAACAACAGACGTCAACCAAACACATTTTACGGCGTTACACGACAAGCCATCGAAGTAGTCATAGACAAGCCTGTGGAAGAAGAATGAGTATGAGAAGGATATGTTTAAAGAATGGAAGGAGAATAAGATGAAGGGTATGTTAAAAGAAGGATGAATGACAGATAAAGGATGAATATTAGGGAAAACATGGAGATTAATATGGAATTTCAAAAGAATTTTGTACAAAGTGAATAAGATTTATTGTACTACGCATTACATTACTCGTATAATACATAGACGTTAAAATATTTGTACATAAGCTTACTATAAATAACTGTTTTCGCTACTGCAGTAGCAACTGATAATAAAGTTATATTGTTTCGACTTATAATAAGATGTGAAATATTCGTTATACGGCCGAAAGTTTTTTTATTCTTCACCTTGTTATTACTATGTACAACTTTATGATTTTTTGTGTAATAGAAATATTAGGTTGTTCAAATAACTTTGGGCTTTTCCCAAAGCAAGTTTGCGGGATTAAGGGTACAGAATTATTTGAACAATCTAATATTAACATTATGTTTTCTTTGTGTAATAGCAATGGTATGGGTTTGGGTATGGCAACTTGAAAAAAGTATTATCATGGTTAAACTGAAAACGAAGCATAGTACAGTTAATGATTATTGAAAATAATAGTTAGATATCAATAACAGAAAAAAAACCAAAATGATAGTAAAAACGTCAAAAATTTACCTAAAACACTAACATAGGCAATATATGACAAATGATTGGAAAGCAACAATATCTAATCATAAAGCAGCAATAAGTAAACCTAAAACACCATTGACAACATTAAAAGCAAAAACAGTCAAACAACAACAATCAGCATAGAACATTCACCAGCAGTCAAAACTTTATTCCCCAACCCCATTATTTATCGTCGTTTTCTCATCGTTAGTCGTCCTTCTGTTTCTCCAGTTTCCTTTTTCTCTCGATCAAATCCTCAAAATCGGTCAAGAACTCGCTGACTTTGCTGTTTTTGTTGAGCAAGTCTTCAGCAATCAGAATGTCGATGACAAAGCGGAGAACGAAAGTGAACTGTTGATCATTCTGAACGGCTTGCACTCGTTGATCTCTCAGAGTACGAAGAATGTCGGCCAAGGTAAAGTCTGTGTTTTGATCGTCGACCAGCTTGCTCAGGACCATTTCTGCTGCGACAAATGTCCCTGTACGGCCTAAAATGGCAAAATGAAATTTTTTACTGAATACAAGATTTTTAAACGTTAAATTAAAAAAAAGCCTTACCAATGCCAGCCGAACAATGCACAACAATGGGTTTCTTCTCGTACAACTTGTGCACCATGTTCCGTACTTCTCTGCACGTACCCACAGATTCTGGAACGGAGTGATCTGGCCATCCCGTGTAGAGAATGTGAGTGATTGTGTTGGTCTTCTCTTTGAAGGTGACTTGAAGTTTGGATCGGACCACTTTCTTGGCTCCGGGGATGTTCTTCTTCTGATCCACAAGCTTCACTTCCACTACACCGTACGTGGCCGACTCCCCTTTCTCCTTGGGCATGTAATCCGAACACTTTTCTTTACCTTTCTCAGTGTTGGCACAGAGTTGGAGTATTACCTGGAATCAGAATTTTAAAATTTAAAAATATTATCTAAAATATCATGGTTTAAAACGAAATATAACACTGTGAACGATGTTATATTAACCTACCGCAACTTCTTCCTGGATGCACATTAGCCAAAACTGCATTACAGTGTTTTCGATAGGGCCTTGGGCACAGATATAAGACAATTCTTTAGGCTTTATCTCCACCATGCTGGCGTGAATGTAATCATCTATAACATCAAAGAATTACAAATTTAGTTAAAGTAAGATAAGGCAGGGTAACAAAATATAGGGTAGGGTGTGAAAATATAAGCTAGAGTGAGGCAGAATATAGTATGGTAGAGTTAGGCAGGGGTGAGCAGGGCAAAGCAAGGCAAGGCAGAACAAGGCAAGAGAGCTTAAACCCCTACCATTATCCGGATTGATGGTGACTTTGACGCGTGTTTTGTCCAAAAGTACCACGTCGTCGTACCTGTTCTTATTGTTGTTGTCAGCATCGTTGAATGCGTCGGTCGATCCTGACGAATTGTACTTTTTGACTTTGGTAATGAACTGACTTCTCAATTCTCTTAGGCCGCCGCTTAGGGTTTTAGTTATCCATTCTTTTACGACTACTTGCTTTGCGTTCGCCGGCTTGGAATGTTCCTAAAATAGAGTTGGCATCAGCATTGAGGTTAGCCTGGTATAGCTATAACATAATGACCTCAATATATGTAGGGGTTAGAAAAATCGGCCGAATACAGTTTTTGAGTGAAGGCAGATTAACATTTTTTTGGAAGGGGGGGGGGGGTGATAAGGAAGTAAAAAACTATTTTAAAAAATCAAAAAAAGGGCAGTTTTAAAATTAAAGACACCCACGCCCTGATAAAAGAGGCTTAAGCAAAACACCTACCGAGACCTCACTTTTGCCACGGTGTACAAACTTGGCGGGGATTGTAGTCATTCGTTTCTCTGTAGCCGCTCCACCGTGCTTATCCACCGAGCACTGTGCAGCCATGCCCTCCGTGTATTTCCGCCTACCGCCGCCGACGGCCTTTGTTTTGCGATTCGCCATTATCTGAAAAGGAAGTTGATCATGATTACAGGTCTTTGTACGATTGTACGATCCTTGATTATGGTCTTTTATGTTCAATATTATGAACGGTTAAGTCCAAAAACCTGCCCAAGTCAAAAAACGAAGGTAGATCTATCTTCTAGTTTAAAAAAGGCATAACCTCTCTGCTTATTAGTTCACAGAGCCTTGAATACCTTACCGAGTGTGTACGTTGATGTTTCCTTCAGTTAGCCACAAATACAACCGACCGCCGACTCTTCTGTTGACTACCGACCGCTCTCTGTAAAAAACGACGAACCTACTGACGGAAGTCGTCCCGTGTCAAGATTTTAATTTTTCACATATTTTTTATTCAAATATTAGTGAAAAATATTTTTTTTGAAAAATTTGCATATTTATTTTTAATTCTAGGTTTCAAATCAATAATTCCATATTTCCTTTTGCTCACGGTTCCGTTTTAGGTTAAAATCAATTTTTAAGCCTTGAAAGTAGCATTGTGGTCAGTAAAATTTATATTGTAGTAGGGTACAGCTTATAATAGTTATGTTTTAAAAAGATTGCAAAAACTTAAGCCAAATAAGAAAACGACGCTTTGAACACCTCTAAACCTACAACAACATACAAAAACCCATAATTTTTTGTGTCTTTTTCTAACGGAAAACATCCAGTACTTCCCTAATATTATTTATAACAACTAATTATGTTTCTAATCCAAAAAGTCTGACCCTGTTTCCTACTGACAGAAAAAACTAGTACCGAGAAGCGTAAAACGAGTACAATACCAAGAAGCGTATGACATTTATTTTATGGAAACATTAATTAGTGATCGATCATGTTAGACGAATATAAATTATTTATCTTTACAATTCTCCGACTCTGATACGTCTGAGCTGTTGTCGCTTTTACTCGTACTGTGTGTTGAATCGGTGCTACTTTCGGATTCTGAAGTCTCATCGGATGTTTTACTGTCTGAAGCTGGGGTTTTACCATCTGAAGTCGTGTTATCCTCGCTAGCTACGCTTTTCTCACCATTCTTGCCAGCATAGCTGTTGGTGACAGCCGGCTGTTCTCCGCCAATCCAGCTGTGGATGTAGTTGCCGGCCAGGTTGAATGGATACAGAATCCAGGCGATGATGAGAGCCAGTGGTAGGACAGAGTAGAGTAGGTATTCCGCTTCTTGATCCTTGTTTCTGATTTGAGATTCGTTTTGTGAGCTGGACGACGTGTTGGACTGGGTGGATTCTGATGCAGAATCCACGGAGGTTTCCAGAAGGGCATCGTCGGTTTGGACTTGGGCTTGCTGGTAGAAGACGGGTGGTTTCAGAAGGGCGGTGGCTGGTTTGGCTTCGGTTAGGGAGCAGAGTTCGGTTTGGTCGTCTGGGGAGAGGGATTTGGCCTTTTCTTGTACTTCTACTGAAAAAAATATTATTTTAGAATCAATATGAATAGTTATTTAAAATTTCAATCTCTCAAACCTTACCTTTGACCTCGCTGTTCTCCTTGTGCTCCTGACTGTCCACCTTGCTGACCATGAACATTGGTTTCTCGGCCTTGGCCGCCTCGTTTTCCTTGACCAGTCGTTTCATTTCGTTCGACAGATTACTGTTTTCTTCTCTCTGTGCACTAACCTCGCCCTCATACATGGCGCACTTTTGCTTTAGATGCAGATTCTCTTCTTCCAGGTTCATGATCATGTTCTCCATCTCGTGCACTCGCATCGAGGTTTCGTACAGCTGTTCTTCGGCTCGTCTGGAACAAAATATGTTATAGTAGACATGGGAGTGCTCGAGTCATCATTTTACCAAAATTTGCAAACAGTTTTTTCCCGTATTTTCTTTTATAATAGTACTTTATAACAAGTATCTACTACAATATAACTTTTCCCGTCAAACACAAACATTTTCCAGCTTAAAACATCAATATTAGCCTAAAAATTACCTTCAAATCCCTAAAAACCTCCCAACAACCCCTAAAACCAACCTTATCGAATCCTTAGCGGCCAATTCGGCCTTTGTACGATCCTCGTAAGCTTGTTTAATCTCTTCTCTGACTTCGGCGATAGCTGATACTGAAAATCCTTTAGTGGATTGGACTGCTAACTGAGCTTCTAGGACTTCGATCCTTGACAGTAAGCGTTCTTCATTGATCAGGGCTTGCCAACCGGCTTCGGCCGCTTCTCGTGTGCTTGATAAAACATTCTCCAAGTTTTTTAGTTTGTTGTTTAGTAGCTGAAATGAAAAAAGGTTAAGTAAAGTATTGTAACATGGATTAAGACATCATTTTTTATTAAAACTTTAAGTTCAAACCCCCAATTCTTCTTCAAAAATCAGCATAAAACATCAAGTTTAGCTAACACAACATAATAGAACCCCTATAATATATGCTTGAGAGGTGAACAAAGATGATACCTAACACACTCGGTAATAGGGCCTATACCTTCCCTATTCACCTTCCAAACCCACCACAACTAAACATCCTATCATTCACAATAACCTACATGATCCTTGAACTTGATCTCCTTCATGTACTGGGACAACAAGAACAGTTTCTCGTTACTGATTAGCGTATGGTTAGGAGGTATTTCCTCGTGAGCAATCGACACGGATGGTCGGGTTAGGATGCCGTTCGGAATGTCGGGTAAAAGTTCTTTGCCTTTGTCGTCGATCAGCTTGATCACGCAAGTGATGCAGCCACTGGCCACTAAAAAAAGGAATGGTATATAAGGTAAAATACGAGCAACTCCTTCTCTAAAGAGTGCAAAAGCTAATTAGAAATAGTAATAAAAATTTTAAAAATAACTTTTGTATTTAGACAATCGAAATTAAATCTCGAAATTTCACTTTTTAAAATTTTAAGCAAAATTTTAAAAATTAAAGTTTAGGTAACAATAAAAGCTAAGGCGATACATAAATACATGTTAAACATTCCTTTGTCCCCTATAATTCAAAGTACATAATATTATGCCACAAACTTTTCAGGAAAACCCAAAAATTTTAGTTTAGGTAGCAAATTTCAATTTTAGGTAACAAAACTCTATCCTCCTACCATTCTTGGAACTGTCCACAATTTCCACGCCGAGTTGAAGAACATCTCCGGAGAACAATACTTTTGGAGCTGATTCCTCGCCCGAATTCGATAACCTTAGGTTATTTACAAAGGTACCATTTGAGCTTCTCGTATCCTTTATGTAAAAATGACCATCGTCGAACCATAGAAGGGCGTGATTTCGGGATAGTACCTAAAAATGTATTGTTTATTTACCTATGAAGCGGCTTTATTAAACTATAAAATTTTTTAAAAAATTTCAAAAATTATGGTACAGTAGCTTCTTATAGCCCATGACCCTCAATACCTCCAACTAAACTTACTTTACAATCAAAAATGGCATTGTTTAAGCTCGGCTGAATCCGGGCGACAGCTCTGCCAATTTTAACCGCATGTTCTTCGTCCCGACTGACTGGTACCCTTCGTTCTTCAAAGTAATGGGAATTGGACGAGGGTGTTAGGACTGCCAAAGGGCCTGACATGACATTGTTAGCTAGCTTGTTCTTCAGGCCATTCGAGTTGATATTCTGTGGCTTTTGGGGTTTGTTGGACAGATCCAATTGGCTGTGTTCGTCGATTAGTGTCGAACTTGATCCGAAACTCGAGTTCAGACCGTTCAGATTATTCGTAAAGAAAGACGATGTGGCTAAACTCATCTTCACAACTGTGACCGCATACCTAAAAAAGTTGAGTATTAGGTATGAAACATTAAATAAAAATTAAAAATTATCATATCTCGTGCTGTCAAATCGCGAAATAAGAAAATACTGTTTAAGAGCTTCAAAAATGATAAAAATCCTTCAACACAGGTATAAAATATTAAGTTGTCCGGAAAGTTCTGCAATATTTATTCACTTTTGAACTAACAATAATAACAATATAATTAACAACTACAATCAATCAAAGTAATTACCGTCTGAATCAATACAGTCTTGCCAACGATTTACAAGCTTTTTTATTCCACGATTGTAGAATTCCGGGTTTCTGGAGTTGATGAAGTTCTTGAAGGCATTCTTGGCATCGTCTGGAGTTTTGAAGATTCGGCACAGTAGGTGTCGGCCGTAATACTTTGGCCAGGTTTCATGAAATCGTACTGGATCACTCCAAAGCTACACCACCAGACAGTCACCATAAGCTTCTTTTCGTGCAATTCTGGCTTCGGAACGTGCTTAGGAGCTTCTCCACGCTTACACCAACTTGTAGATCTTCTAGTCTTGTTAAACGAGATTCACTTCTCGTCAATAGTTACAATTCGATCCAAGAATTCTTCGTTTTTGCAGCGTTGCAGAAGCTTTTCGGAAGCACATCGTCTCTTGGCTTTTTGCAGATCAGTCAAATTGTGAGGCACCCATTTGTCCAACTTTTTGACCATACCCATTGCCTTCAAATGATCACCAATGGTACTTTTTCCACAGTTTAGTAACTCTTCTAACTCCCGGATTGTAATATGTGGGTCATCTTCAATCTTGCGCCTCAGGGCATCTTTGTCAAGTTTGCTGGGTCTTCCTGCACGTGGTTTGTCTTCAAGCTTCTCATCGTCCACACGAAACTTTGCGAACCATCTGGTCACCGTAGAATAACTCACAAAATTCTTACCCTCATTTTCTTTTATAATTCTGAAGGTTTCTGCCGCAGTATTTCCGCGTTTGAATTCATTCCATATAATCACGCGCAGGCGAGATTTCTCCATTTTTTTCTAATACCTAAAACAATACAAAAAAATGAAATTAAGTTATGTAACTTACCTTTTTGAATAATTTAGGTAACAAACAAACAAACAAAAAAAGAATTTTTTCTTTCCGTCAAGAAATAAATTTTTCCTGATTTTTCAAAGTTTACCTACTCAAATATTGCAGAACTTTACCTAATAGTTACAAAAATTGCAAAAAAACCCTATAAAAAAGGTCTCTAAATCCCAAAAATTAAAAAAAAACATCCAAAATAACTATAAAATGCCAAAAAAAGTAAGAAATATCGAAAAATACTATAAAAATATAACGAAATACCTAAAAAATATTTAAAGCAAGCCAAAAATCAAAGAAAAAAAGCTAAAAACCAAACAAAACTAAAATATTTACAAGTAACCAAACTTGTTAACACAAAACAACACCTTCTACTGCTATAAATTTATTAAAAACATGAGATACTTCATTCATTTTTCAACCGTTAATGCAAAAACTTCAAAATCTGTACAAAATACCATAGTTAACATCATTAAAACTTTCCCATTCACTCAAAAACTTCCAAAAAAGAAATTTTAAAAGCTTGAAAATGAAGAAAAAGTAACAGCTTTGACATCAAGAAAACAAAAAAAACTAAGACACCATCACCCATAAAACACAACATAAAGTAGAAGACATTTGAAAAATATTAATATTGAGCAACAAAAGTTAAGGTATTGAACTAAATTGTGAAAACATAAACTCGTAAGGTCAAAGAGTAAGTAAAACAAACGAAATAAAGTGTAAATAAATTGAAATCAAAAGGTAAATGATAAGTAAACAACAGTAACAAGTTACTGCACAAACTAAAGTCACTTTCTCCACACTATATTAATATAGAGTAAACAAGATCAATCCGGGGCTAATAATATATGTTCAAATAACCATATACCAATAATATTTGCCACGGTAAATCAGAAACTCCCATAATATAGTCTCTGACATAACCCAAGAACACTGCAAAACCTATAACATAACTATGGCAACAATAACAACATCAATGTATAGAGTTGAGCTCAGTCCGACCATCCTTCGGGTAATAAATCATGAACTTGAAGGGTTCTTGAGCAAATCTGCCCGGATTCACAATCTTGTACTGTTGGTTCTCTTGGTCTTCCGAGGGTTTCCACCTGTATGCTGTGAAGTCATCAGCCAATATTAGGAGATCTGGCATTACAATGAAATCATAGACGTTGCCATAGTTGATCGGAGAGCCTTTTGGATGCAATGGAAAGGCGTTGCGCTGAGACCATATTGTTCTTGAGTACTAAAACAAGGTTTTTTAATTAATTTTTGTTAACTTTTTTCTCGATTTCAGTCACCTTAAAGGTCATAATACTCACTACCAACAAGAATAATTAGCTCTACAACCCTACCATCAAATATTACAGTATCAAAACATCAAAAAGTTGACCTACCGATCCTCCAATTTCCGAGTTTTCACTAATATGAAACGTTTCTCCGGCTAACTTCTCAATGACATCATCTCGAATGGCTTGTATTACCTTATTCTTGAACAACACCTTCGACGGGTTTGCTACCAGATTGACGTTCGGTCGATTCTCGAAAATTGGCTTTATTGTCTCCATGAAAATGCTAAAATATGTTGTTGTAGCCTTTATTTTACTGTTTTAAGTCAAAAATAGCTTTTAAAAACCAAAAATAGGCTTTAAAAAGAACGCGCCATTCTTTTCGCATCAAGACTAAACTTTCACAAATTTGCAAATTTTAAGAATAACCCCCAAAGAAATTAGAACTTTTAAAATATCATTAAAAAACGCCCCAATCCCATCTAAAATCCAAATATTCACCTTGGTAATCGATCTCCACAAGGTGGATCTCTCGGCCCTGGAATGAGTACGAACTGAGTGTTCTTGTAGACATCATTGTAGCGAGTTATCAACTCCTCCAGCTGTTTAAAGTCCTTTTCCACATCTCTGAACAATGAATAATCAAAGTATATTGAGCGAAAAGATCCACATAATATAAACATAGCCGGTGGAGCCTCGGAGTAGCCCATAAATAATTGGTTTAGAGCTTCGTGTACCTAAAAAAGTTATGTTAGTCATGTTTGATTCAATAAAAACTTAGTATTTTAGATTTTTAAAAGGTTTTAAACGCTATTTTGCAAAGAAAAGTTTAATTTTCTAACCCCATGTTATACAACCTAAGATAACATAAAAGATCACTAATACCTTCTATAACAACCTTTAAAATACCGCAATTAACCATCAAGTCATATAAAATAACAAAGAAACTGTAAAGCTACAACAATATCAACAAAAAAATTTTTAAAAACTACCCAAAGACCAACAAAAACACGAGGACTCATCCTATACCTCTAAAACAACTTAAAACTCTTGAAATCCTCAAAAAAAACTCAAAATTACCTCCGGTCGATCCAAGAATACATCGCTTAAAATGACAATGCAATCAGAATTCTTCGGAGCATCAAACGGTTGTCGATTTAGCACGTCAGTAGGTACGATACTAGGCATTTCATTCAAAGGCTTCAAGACAGGAAGTGTCAACTTTTTAATCGTCAGAATCCCGTCACGGTAATCGCCTTCACATACGAATATACCACCATAGAAAAAGTATGCATTCTCTTCAAACGTGGTCTTCTCTGTGACTTCCAGTACCACTTGACCAGTCGCATCTTGACCATACATTCGATCCATTAGATCCCTCAGAATGACCAGTAATACTTTGGTTTTCTTTGCTTTCAAACAAAGTAGTGATTCTAGATCGTCAAATCCTTGAGAATCTGCTAGGTTTTTGAAAATGTATTTGACTCGATCTTTGACAAATGAATTGATAACCAAATCATTGGCCAACAAGTCTTGTCGCTCTTTTGGAACGATGGCTTTTGATGCTTTGTCATATTCGTAGTTGGGCCAGTTTGGGCTTTCGAAGACTTCGAATTCTTTCCCGCTAAAATTAGAATCTTGTTAAAAATGTTTTTCAGAACAAAATTGTCATACTCATAACAAAAAAAAACTTGCAAAAAACCTCTAAAATTAATATATTTTACAACTTTTATGTAATTCCTTATCAAAACATTTAATTTTATGTCATGCATCGTGACCTAAACCAATAAAAATTTGTAAAAAAAAACTTACGATCTAATTTGAGTCTTCTTAGCCACCAAGAGGTCCTTTAACGTTTCCAAATTGAGATCATCGACTAAAAAATACTTTTTAAATAAATTCAAGTTCAATTTTAAGTGTTCTGTCCAATTTTCAATCTAAAAAATCGTCAAAAGATCATTTTTTAATAATTTTATTGTCTTTGTTACCTAAACTTTACTTTTTCACCTTCTAATTTTTTAATTTTTGATCAGTTAATTAATTTTAATAAAATTTATCAAAACCCTTTATTTTATACCCTTTTCAAATCCCCACCTCCAGAAATGCAGATTTTCTCGATCAGATTGCTGATATACTTCCGCCGACTGCCATGATCCATTTCCTTACAATAGCTGGTGAGTTGATTGAGTGCATCTCTAAAATACCAGTGAATAAACAAAAAACCGATTCGTTACGTTCTAATTGAGATCATGGCTTGTTCAAAACAACGTCTTATCTGTGCTCGACCCGGGTCCGACATGTTACACACACAATAACAACAAACTCAACAAAACTAAAAAGAATACAAATTATTGTTTGAAATATTGACAGACACGATAGAAGTGGTATGCGTAACAACATGTCACCACACAGTAAGAATGGCAAGAAAAGCAACATAACAAAGTAAGTCATTATAAAATAAAAAAATTAAATTCAAAAAGCAGTTTTAACAATAAAAAACATCAAAAATAGCAGCATTTGTAACCAAAATTATAAAAACTCAAAAAATACATACTTTTAGTAAAAAATTATTATAAAAAAACAAAAGTAAAAACAGTTACAACAAATGGCGGAGGAATAAACAAAGTTTTTTAGAAAATAAACAATCTCCAATCAAAAGAATATCAAAAAGTCTCCACTTTCGAACACAAAAACAACAAAAAACACTTAAAATTTTATGAAAAACAAGAAAAAAAGTAAATAAATGTTACTCAAAATGCTTTAAAATTATATTATTCTTTACTACGTTTAAAAAGCTTCACAAAACGTTCATTTTTACACACAAAAAAAACTTTTTTTAACTGCACAGTGCAGTTTTTTTACTTCACTGTGCAATCCTTTAATAACTACAAACTAAAACAGCCATCAAACCAAAATAATATCTTTCGAAAACTCCACAAAGCCATCAATATCAAGATCAACACAAATTAAAATTTTAAAACCTCAAAATCCGATATTAACATCGCCATGTACACATAATAATCATATATTCAAGGTGACAAACCTTTAAAAGCAAATTAACTCTGCCCTCAATTAATAATTTATTACACTTATAAAATGAGATGCATTAATGTCAAAAAAGACAAATAACAACTTTCGCCAGAGTCGTACTAACTTATTAGAAAGCCACAACAGTTATTAGACAAACCTCATGGTAAAACAATTACAATTGTCCCATAACTTCTGAAACACCTTGATAAACAAGTTAGTACGAGTTGGCAACTTTTCACATACTCAAAATACCCTTTCTCTTTGACTTTCACCTTCTTCAATATAAAGTACGTCCTTATGAAGTTGGTGGCAGCCTTGGTGGAATCATGTGTTGTAGTTGAGGTGGTAGTTGACCCGGCATGACTCCAGCGATCTGGCCTGGTACAGGAATTTGGCCTGGGAATTGTGGAGCGCCTGGAGGAAGACCTGGGCGGATTCCCATCGGAAGACCTTGAGGTAGGTAAGGGAATTGGACTGGCGGTCGAATCATGGCTGTTGGTGGAAGAACTGGAGGTCTACCAGGCTGGAAATGAATAAATTAACCGTCTGTTCAATTACCAAAAATCCCAAGCCATAAAACAGTTTCATTTTTACCCAAATCAATCAAAAATGGCTTCAAAATTCGGCACAACAGAAGGTTATTCTTTAAAATCAGCTAACTTAATATAAAAAGCTATTATTTACTAAACTGTAGCCAATATCACTTTTTAAAAAACCAACCATAGGAATTTGTCCAGCCATATGACTGTTAGTGAGCATCCTCTGTTGTGTGAAGGCTTTGGCAGTGGCATCAACCAACTTTTGAGCTTGGAGCTCCATCCATCCTTGATAGTACATCCTCACATTCTCCTTGTGCTTCCTACCTCCATTGTGGGTCTTTCGAACAGATGGGGAGTCATGTGTCAAAAAAGTATCACAGTAATCACAATAATATTTCGGCATCTAAAAAAAAAGAGTTAAATTCAAGTTTAGGCGTAAAATAAGCTATATTAGGGACATATCGCGTTTAAAAATACAAATTTAAAGCAAACACCTAAAAAATTAAATATAATACTAAAAACTCAAAAAACATTACTAAAAACATCAAAAACAAAGCTATGTTACCTAAAAAATACAAAATATATTCAAAAATCGTCAATAATATCATCAACAGGTATCAAATTGTTTCAAACAAGTGAAAAACATTACCAAATTAAATTAATAACTTTATAACAAAGATATGTAAACAATAACAACCCGTAAAACATAAATGAGCTCGTTAAATTAACATATACATTAATAACTATGTATAACATGGCTAAAATGAAATTATATACATAAAACAGCAAAAACTGTATTATATAGTCATTATAGCAAAAAATATGGCCATATACATCATTAGTGTAAGAAGTATGATAATATGCTACACTGTAGTAAAAATATGGCAATATATTTCTTTATAGCAAAATGTATGGCAATATATATCGTTATAGTAAAAACTATGGCAATATACTTCCTGTAGAAAAAATGGCAATATCGACTTCACTATAGTAAAAAATATGGCAATTTCAATCTAAAATGTCTCAACAATCGTTTCAAATCCTGATTACTCTCCCTGAACTCCTCCTGCAACATCTTTCTAGCCTCTTCACTCATCTTATCATACTTTCTGCCCTTCGACGCTCCTAAACATTTCTTTTTGCTCTGATACTCAACACAGTAATATCCCTTTTTCACGTTAAACTTTAGAATCCTTCTGTAGTCCATGAAACGAAGTCGTAGGTCTTTGATCAACTGATTCATGACTGCAGACGGAATTTGTTTTAGTTCGTTGCCATCGACGATTATGAACTGATCCATGTTGAAGTGTTCCAGCCATCTATGAAAGTGTTGTGCGTATTTTCCTGGATTTATCATTCTTGCGACTAGACGTTTCATTTCTGGTTTATTCTTGTTCTTTAAGATGTGTTCTAGAGAGTATTTTGATGCTATTGAGTCGTTATGAGCAAGCATGTGCTGAAAATAATTATAGTATGCTTTGAAAAAACTCATAAAAATCTGATTTTAACCGCGCTCGCCTAAAACTAAATTTTAGGTAACAAAAAATCAGCACTTATACCTAAACCAAGAAATATTTGTTACCTAAAAAAATCAAAAAAGCCCTACCTGGTACCAAGAATAAGCCCGATCAACTGGATCCTTCAAAATCACCAGAAATTTAGCCTTTGGCAACAAGTAGCTCATTTGAAGCGCAACTTTCGAATTGTCAAAGTAATTAGCTGACTTTTCAAATATAATCTTTGCACTTTCGTTGTACAACGCCCTATACCAATCAAGGCCGTTGTCATAGTTTTTTTGACCAAAGAATTGAGGTTCTTCAAAAGATCCGGCAACATTAAGGTTTGTCGCTACGTCTGGATGAACTTTCAGAAATTCTGCCAATGCGGTCGTACCTAAAAATGCAAAAAAAATCGTTTTTTAATGTAAAATACGCTAGTTACAATTTCCAATAAATAAGATAAACCTATATTCTATCTTCAATCCAAAAACTTTCATTTCAAAATGACATTATAGTGTTAACTAAACCAAAAAAATGTAAAAAAAGTCTTACCTGTCTTCTGAGGCCCCAATATGATCAAATTAGGTAGATTTGTTGAATTGTCACACTTCTTCAAATATGACAGACCTTGAAGATGCCTTTTGTCACCGCATTCGTCTGTATAATATAAATCAAAATTTTTTTGAGCCTTCATATACTTGTCCACCATTTCTGTTGGTTTTATCCATTTTATCTTAATATTAGTGTAACAATTTAAAAATTTGAAGGTATTTTCAAATAGGTATACAGCTAGACGATCATTGCCCCAGTTTTGTTGGTGAGTCATGAAGATGTTGAACTAAAACAAGATAAATTAACAAAAAGCTTCCTAAAGGCATAAAACATTAAAAATCCTTTAAAAAACTACTTTACTATCAAACCAGCCCCAATAACCGCGTAATAACCCACCTTATTAAACAAAATATCATCAAACACAGTTCCACCTTCAATATTCTCTTTAAACTTCCTAAAACCATTAGGCAAAGCATGAAAATACATCGTATGAGTATATAAACCACAAGTTTGTCTAGGTAACACACTAATACCATTATATGTAAAGCCTCTTCTGCGTGAAGCCGGCTGAAAGTGTGGATATTCTTCTGTTGATGTCACTTTCACCTCCCAAACCTTTGTCCATGCCTTATATAATGGCTCATGTATTGGATATACACCATGATGTTGAGGAGAAACTGCGTAGTTCAGAGTAACATTAAGGTTGTTAGAGTGTGCAAACTGTTTGTTGAGATCCATAAGTAAAGTTAAGTTGTCGTATGAGTATTCATGAGCATGATTGTGCTTCCACATGTGGGGAAACCATAAGAAATGATGGGATTGACCTGAAACAGAGGATAATACTGTAAAATGCGAACATTCCCAAAAAAATAAATTTTAAAAACTAGAAAGCCAAAAATCACATTCTACAAAAACAATAGTAAAATATACTCCTAAGCACCTAAATATATATAGTAACAACGAATAACTATAACTTACGTAGTAACTCCTCGTCTCCCTTTACCTCCTCTTCTGTCCCTCGACCAAAAAAAGCTCCGGAAAACCCAAGAGTAAAAGAAAATTGATCAACAAAATAACTTCTCCATCGTTTTTGCACTTCTATTAGCTCAGAAATGTCATCTTTTACCAATCTTGTTCCAATTTGACCAACAAAAATGTCGTCTATGTCAATTTGAATATACCTAAAAGTGAACTTTCAAAAAAAAATTTGAATAAGTATTTAAACCTCAAAAGAAACATCTATTTACATAGTAAACCCTTGATTTATTTATTCATTGAACTAAATTTAACTTTTTTAAACCCTTACCTAAAATTTAAAACAATATAAAGTAAAATACTTACCTTTCCAATCCTCCAGTCCATGTTTCACCCAACAAAAACGTTAAGCCATCAATAAACGTAGTCTTTGCAATCCAATTCGTCAAGTTGTGACCAAGTATAATATGTTGGTAAGGAGAACTTTTGCGCATTGCCAGATTGACTAAATCTCCATTCTCATCTTGACCTTTTAAGATTGAAATTAACCTTTGATCTTGCTCTGCTCCAACAGCCTTCAATCCAATCCAAGGCGTTTCGGAATTTATTTTAGGTATAACAACATTAGTCTTCGCAATATTCGAGAATTCGTTGTCCAAAAACGTAAAATTCGAAACTTCTTTTGCAGATTCCAGTTGAATATCAAAATATCTAGCTGATTTTGTAGCAAAACTTATTATCCCAATGTTATATTTGGCGCTAATGTTCTCCAAAGCAACCTTTTGCGTATCTGATAGTGAGTAAAACAAATCCAGATCAGAAAACACTATAACTTCGTATAAAGCCGCCCCTTCTAATTCCAAAAGTAAGTCAGATATGTCTTCAATATTCTCAACATAAACCGGTAATTTCAGGTAGTCTAGGTGATCGACAATAACCTTCTTCTCTATCTTCTCCTTCTTTCGTCCAATTACCAAAACTCTAGCCTCATTTCTCAAATATTTACCCGCAATTCCAAATCGCTTTATGCTCGAAACATTCCCGGAATTTACATTAGTAATATAATTTGCAGGACATAAAAATCCATCCACAGAAACGGGCGGATATCTTAGCCGTTTTACATAATTAGTTTTGGAGTAAAATACATAAAACAAAGTCAAAACAAGAAGTACAATTAAAAGTCGAGAAAAATACCGACGAATATGTAACATGAAGCACGAGATCAAGTAAAATACATAGTGAATGCGAACTGATAAATATTAATTTATAGTTGCATGCACAATTGATATTTTTCGGCTTTCCGTGCAAACGCCGCCAAACGAAAGAGAAAAAGACGAGCGCCAGCTGCGATTGCCAATTTATACGAAGAAGTTTTTGCAAATGTTTCATCGTATAACTTGTCTTTTAGTAAACATCATCTTGTTTTTCTTGCGAAATTGAGGGGCGGATTCTACGCGTGTACGCACGATAGATCCATACCTATACATATCGAAACATACGTCGTCTAAGTAGCTTTAAGTTGGTTGTCTACGAAGAAATATGTCAAAGTTTCACCTATTCGAGGGGCCGTGTTTGTTGTTCAGGCCATTTGAAATTCAACGGGTGTTTTTCAATCATTTGAATGAATATCGATACAAGAAGCTAGATCCTACGTACACAAGAGAAGGTTTAGATGCTGGAGTAAAAGAGGTAAATCAAATTTTGTTGTGGGTATCTCAAGTACTGTTGAGAGAAATTGTTTTATATGTTTAGGTTTGGTGGATAAGTAAGATTTATTTCTATCTCATAGTTGTAAAAGGAATTTTCATTTGTATATTGATGATTTGTGGCTTTGTTTTAATTTAGTTTGGCTAATTTATAAATTAATTTTTTACTATAATATAATATCTCGTTAGGGAATCGTAAGGATAGCAAAAGATCTCAGAGAGAAGAATGAAACTAAAATGGTCGATTATCTTGGCAAACACCTTCGATATCGACTGAAATTGAGGCTACCGGAGATGGATAAAAGTGTACTACAGCAGAATCTAAATTTTGATGTGGACAATATAAGAAAGGTTTATTTACATTCAATATTCATGACAATGGAAGGAGTGAAACTAAGTAAGCTTTCTACTTCTTTTTTTACTTTTAGATACAAAATATTTTGATAATGGACTAATTTATCTACTTTGTGAATCTGATGGTTAATATAGGTGTTTCTTTTGATGTCTCTAATGTTATGTTCGTTTTTCTTGCTAAATTTTAACAAAAGGTATTTCATCTTACTGTTGCAAGTATTCTTTGTATAATTTCTGTACAAAACTAATTGAAGCCTTGTTAATTTTAGCGGTTTTTGTAAACAAAAACATGTTTTGAAACGTGCACGTTCGCGAGGAGAACACTGGTGCCTTAGGGTTAATTCATGTGCTGTTCTGTGTTCTTTTTGACTTTTTCGGGAAAAACAGAAGATTCTTTTTGTATGGGAGAAACAGAAAATTATCAGTTTTTGCAATTCAAATGTTTGTTGTTACGATAAACATTGGAATATGTTGTTTTAATCGTTGGTTGTATTGTTTTGGTTGTTGTGGGGAAGTCACGAAATATAAAAAAGTTAAAACTATTTAAAATATTGTGTGAGAGGTTGCGTTATTAAGTTAAAGTTGAAATTAGAGCGAATATGTGGAAGTGTAATACCTAAAAAGACGTAGAATTAGTGACCTTGCGGACGGAAAAGTGACTCACTTTTGTTCGGCTTTTATTTGAAGCTTGTGTCTTTGGTGGGATGTTGATGTCTAATGATAATGCTGGAGTTGTGTTTTGGGGTTAGAAAAGACGTGTTTTAGGTAGGGTTGTAAGTGTACACACTCTTATCACACGTACTGTTATTGAGTAGCTATGGTAACTTGTTGTTGTGTCACTTTTTGTATTTTTGTCTATTTGGTTAAAAGTCTAAAAGACGTGGGTTTGGGTTCAAAATATTGTAAAATTTTTAAGTAAAAATATCGTTGTATAAAAATACTTTTTTTCAGCCGAGGATACACGATATACAGCTTTCGTCACATCTATAGCATACATTGACCCTAAAGGTACGGGGCCATTGTCATCGTTTCAAGTTGCCAAAAGAGTCAATGATTTCCTCGTCTGTAATATAACGTAAGTTTAAAGACTTTAATTTTGAAAATTTAGGTAATTTTGAAAATATTTATTTATATTTAGCTATGACTTTTTGTATATATGTATTACTTGTTATGTTTAGGTTCGGCCGCACCGTGAAACCGATGGGAAAATGGCGTATATCGGACGTGAACTTTTTCGATCCGGCTGTCACGGAACAGCTGGCACACGTTTATGTTTGAAATAGGGTTTCTTGTTGATTTGTTATATAAAGTTAGCTGTTATAATTTTGGGGTTGTTTACTTTAAGTTATGGACTTTGACATATATTTTATAGCATTATTTGATATTTGTAGACGATAAAATTGTTATCTTTGGTGTGATTTAGACTTATTATGTGATTTTCGGTTTCGTTGATAATTTTTTGTTTTGAGTATTATTGTTTTAAATTTGTGTATGGTTTATAGCGTGTTGATGCCGATTTTAGCGTGTTATGTTGAATTTGATGACTGATCTAACTTTTGCAGAAAATGACTCTTCAATGGACAGTTGTCGCCGGTATTCTGTACCTGGAGATCGGTGTTGTTCTTCTCTTACTGTTACCATGGATTAGACCAACTCAGTATGTCTAAATTTGTAAATTTTGTTGTTTTAGGGAGATTTCACAGATATTGACATTGTTCTACTAGTTTTTTATTTATGTCAATATTAAAAAACGACGTTTATTTTATAAAATAGACAAAGTGGAAAATAATTTAGTAAACGGTCAAGGAAATATAGGTTTTACTGATTTTCTGTACTATAAGTTAACAATTTTAGCTGGAAAAAGTTGTTCCACAGCCGGTTGGCGTCGTCGATTAGTCGATTTGCATCAGTGTACTTCTACGCGGTCGTTGCCGTTCTTATGTTGTTGTTGTTGGGTAGGTTTTAACTTCTTATCTGCAATGGTCTTTTCTCTACGTAATTTCTATGATTTAAATGCCTAAAAAGGTCTTGCAAGCTCAAAAATTAAAATTTTGCAAAAAATAGACATACAATGTTAATTTCAGACGCCGTTCGTGAAGTACGCAAGTATTCTGACGTTGATATCAACACGGAAGTCAGAAGAGCTCTGGAAAGCGATGCCATGATTCACATGCGTTTGTTCCGCTCTCAAAGAAACTTGTACATCAGCGGATTCGCCCTTCTCTTGTTCGTTGTCATCAACCGTTTGGTTACATTGATCTCACGTACCGCTGCCCTTCAGGCTAGTGCCGATGCCGCCTTGAAACAAGCCCAAAGTGCCAACCAAGCCGCCAAGACCTTGATGGAGGCTGTAAGTTTATTTTTGGTGTTTATCTGCTTTTGTGTTTAGATAAGATGAAGTATAACATCAAGATGATGAAGGTTGCCTTAAATATGTATATATTATTCTGTTGACTATACTGGTTTTCTAGGGAGACGGTGACGCCCTTCAAGAATCCACCAAGGAAGTCGAAGACCTGAAGAAGAAGCTCCGTCAAGCCGAACAAGACCGTGATGCCATGAAGAAGCAGTCCGAGAACCTTCAAGAGGAGTACGAACGTGTCTCTGACCTCTTGAGCAAGAAGGAAGCCGCCGGAGGTGACAAGAAGAGCAACTAAACGTGTTTTTGATCTGTCTGCATCGCTAATAACCCTGAAAACTATTATATTTAATTTCTTGTTAGTAAATTAGTATTATATAATTTGGATCATTATTTTAAAAAAGTTTAAATTAGGCTTAAAGCCGCTACCTTGAAAGCTTACATATTTAATTTGCTTTTTATAATATTTGATATTATTTATTAAAATAGATAATATTAAGTTATGAAAACACAAAAACATATTGAGATCAATTTATCGATATAAATACACCTAATACAACTATATTTTACTCCATGACTTCATCCTCGTCCACCTCAAGCTTTAATTTGGAATGGTTGAATGCAAGCCTCTGTAAGTATATCTTCGTCTGAGTCTTCTTCTAGAGCTTCTTCTACTAAAGCGTCTGGTTCTTCTTCTACTGAAGCTTCTGGATCGTCTTCTACTGAAGCGTCTGTTGATGAAGGCTTGATCTGCTTCATTATGCTCCTGAAGGACGTTGTAGAAAGCCAAGCCAATGATAAGGATTTGGCAAACTTTGTTATTGGCTAAAATGATATTTTAAATTTTAAAAATTGCATTTTGTTTTAATTTACATTTTATAGCTACTTTTTGATCAAAATATTATAGTGAAGGCTTCATGAAGGTACTAGTGTTAACTTTTAGGCTTTACTTTTTCAAAAATTAAGCACAAGTTTAAAGCTTCCATGTAACATTTTAAAGTTAACCAAATCTAACATACCCCCACACCAATAGAAGCTCCAATTGCACTTCTTACACATTCGACGTTGATTAGATGTCGAGACCTTCTTTCTGACACCTGTTCTTGTTCTATTCCATTACATGCTGGTGAACACTCGTATTTGATAGTCACAGCAACGCCTTTGATAAAGATTTTCAAGTTCTGAATCGAGGTACCACACATCGGGCAGAACTTGTAGGATGAAAAACGCTTCAGATTTTCAATGTAATACTTGGGCAGTTCCTTAAATTCATTTTTAGGAATTTTGTCTCTTGTAGCAGCCACCCTACTCTATCTTTCAGAAGCCTAACCTATTTTATTTTACTTTACACTGCCCTGCCATTTTCTACCCTACTATACTTTATTCTACCTTACTTTACTCTACCTAACCTTCCCCTTATCCTATCTAAGTCAACTCTATATAAACGCCACCAATACCTTCTTTACCTACCTTCTCTTCCTTTTTCTTCTGCTCACTCTCATCCACATTTGCATCAACTTCTTCCTTAATGCCCAGCTCAGCCTGTTCCATCAACTTTTGTCTGTCGAAATCACTGATTGGATGAGCGTCCTTCTTTCGCCGTTCTTTATCCGTAAACGAGTTGGGTGGGAAGTGTTTGGAACAAATTGTAGCTCTCGAGGTTGGTATTATTGGCAGATTTAGGACTGCAGCCCATTTACGACGAATCGCTTCATCTTTTGGAAAGCTGGCTAGTGGAAATTCTGGGAAAGGACAGACGACACAGGTTGCCGAGACGAAGAACGGCCGATAACTCACATTGACGGGCCTCTTGCCACGATGTCTCAGATCATGAGCTGTGATGATGGGAGTTCTGCGCATACTGAAAATTTAAGGTTAATATCTGAGTTACATGGATACGTTCCGATAAGCTTCTACACGAATTCGTTGCAGTAAATTATGCGTAAGTAAAGTTATCCCTAACAAAACTATAAATAAATTTATTAAAATATGTAAAAGATAATTTTTAAATTTAATTTCTATTTAAAAATTCGAATTTTAGTTTCCAAACAAAATTTTATTCAAAAAAAGTTATTTTCTTGAGCGAGAAACAGAATGCCAAACAACCGCAATTAGCTGTTCCTCCATTTTCTATCGTTCTAGGACCTAACCAATATGGTCTTGTTAAGTTTTTTATGTGAATAATATAACAAGTTATCCTCTTTAATATCGTTCATCCCAAAAATTTTTTAGTTTTCGACTATAAGAACAATATAATCAAAGAAAACATTAGAAACTAAAAAAATTAAATTGAAGTGTTTGAAACGAATAGGTATCAAAATTTATTCGATTATTTAATCACTAACAACAACGAACTTGGAATAAGAATGTGTGAAGACAAAGGAGATCTGATGCTAGGAATATTTGGATACTATTATAAAACTAGGCTTAGTTTGACAATTCAAACTCAATATTATCGTTATAATAAGCTTAAAATGAGGCTACTACCAATGTAAAGCCTGAGAACAAGTTTTAAATTGGTTATCCATCAAGTTTAAGCTTAACAACAAGTTTTGAATTGAGATAACATCAATTTTAAGCTTAATAACATTTAAAATTTAACTGATAACAATATTAACCTTATTTCGCTTTAGCTCTCAAAGACTGATCATGTTCAACAACTGCTTGTGAAGCTGTGAGGAGATGCACAATCGAGATTCCGGTCTTGATAATAGCCACGACACAGAATGGAGCCATTAGGATTTTCATTGGAGTGATGCCGAGAAGAAGGTTGGGACCAGTCCAGAAGGCATTCAGATACAGGAAGCCGTAGAAGGCTTCGTTGCCAAAACACATGAAGAATAGAAATGGTCTGTAAAGGTTTTTACGTTAAGAAAAGTTACAGTATTATCAATCCTACCACTCTATATTACCTTATCCTTCCTTACTCTGCCCTGCCTTTCTCTACTATATATTACCCTACCGTATCCTACCTTACCATGCCCTACCAAACAAAAAAACCAGGCCTACCTTGAAGTATAATAGTAATGTAACAATGGGTTCTCCGAGGATTTGTGTGATTGTTTGCCAGTAAGATCAGTAGCATGAAGGTGTAACCAATGTGACGCAATGTCAATGATAACTACCAACTGGAAGAAGAACATCCATCTTGGATATAGAGCACATAAGGCCATAAGCAAGCCGACAAAGGCCAATCTGTCAGTCAGTTGATCCAACATGGCACCAAATCGGGAACCTAGAAATGAGTTATTATATTAAAATAGGTACAACTGGCTGATAATATAGGTTCAACTGGCTAATAATACAGGTACAACTGGTTTTATATCATCATTGATAACAATCTTATAGATCTTATTCAATGTATATTAGCACTATCCAATAGTCTTTGATATTACAGTAACTAAAAACCTAAAAAAGACCTACTTTGATTGTACATTCTAGCCAAATATCCGTCGAAAGCGTCCAAGAAAGCGCTCAATCCATAACAAAATGAAGCAACTGCTGGTGAATCCAGCATAAAAAAGCAGGCCACAACGGCTAGTACTATTCGACCGTACCCAATTAGGTTAGGGTAAAACAGAAATACATTGTCATCGGCTGTCTTTACGTCTGCCATTTGGAATCTGAAACAGAATCATTATAAAAAATGCCTTTTAAACTTAAAAATCAAATTTTCACGACTTTTCGGTCAAAGAGTATGTATATAAAGACACAGTTTTTTAATGAAAATGGAACTGATTTTCATTGAAGTGATGCCAACTTAACGCATAGGCTAAAACCCAAGCCTATAAGTTAAATTTTCCCCTATTTTCCACCTATCTACGCACTTTTTAACCTATCTTTAACCCGAATACCACAAATATAATCATATATAATAACAGAATATCAAAAAATCTTCAATTTAGACTATAAAATCATAATTTCCAAGACTGTTAGAAGACAAGATGAGATGACTTGTTTACTATAATATATCAAAAAACAAAAACATAAAATACAAAAACAAAGACCAGCCCTTTGCGCGAGGAAATACATAACAATAAGTGTTTTCAAACTTCTTTAAAGATAAAAATCAAGGATTATATCTATATTTTTAAAAAAATCATTTTTCATTTTTACTACACTTTTCAGTTTTAAAAATAATAAAATTTACGTATTTAAAAACACAAATAATGTAAAATACGTCGTGCAATCTATAAGTTTCAATATTTAAGAACATGTATACCCCAATTCTTCATCAATATGTGTACACAAAGTATACAAAACATAAAGTAAAATATTATTATGCAAGTGGCGATCCTTAAATCGAAGCCAATTGCAACATGGAATAAGGTCACAATTGACGTATTTCGTTATAAAGTTTCATCACAACATCTACGTCATTGAGTGAATCGCTATGAATAATCATGGAAAACATATCTTTCAGGGAAAGCAAAGAGATTGCAATTAAGAAGGGCAGTAGTATTAGGTTGTTCAAATAATTATGTGCCCCTTCTTAAAGAAATTTTTCACTGCCATTCTTAATTGTAATCACAAATAAAAGGCTTATCCTAGGTTATTTTACAGGGTGTGCCAAAAGTCCCTGGACTCATTATTTTAGTCATATATTTATTAAAACAATCAATATACTTAAAACAACAACTAACAATAGTAACATATAGCACTAGTTATAACATAGCCAAGCGGTTTCGAAGTGGCCCCCCTTTGCCGCCACGCAGAGGCGTAAACGCTTCACAAAGTTTTCAGCGATGGGCCGCAGGTCCCGAGGCGAAAGTTTGTCCCACTCTTCGATCAATGCTTGTTTCAAAGACTCCAAAGTTTGGTGTCTTCTACAACACACCCTTGTCTCCAATATCGACCAAATACTGTAATACATCAAGTTGAGATCGGGGGAGTACGGAGGCCTTTCAGCTGAGGTGATAAAGTCCGGAAAATGGGCCCGACACCACTCCTGTGTTGTTTTGGCTTTATGGGCTGGAGCAGAGCCCTGTTGAAACGTCCATTTGGTGTTCTTGAAGTGTTCTCGGGACCAAAGAAGTACTACGGCTTCCAGAATGTCCTTTTGGTACACTCCTTTATTGATTTTTACTCTTTTATCAACAAAAATCAAGGAAGTTTTGCCCGAGGCGCATACTCCTGCCCAAACCATAATGCCCCGAGGGTGTTGACGGTGTTCGGCGATGGCCAAGTCTCTAGGAGGCTCAGTAGAGTAATGCCTGTCATTTTGAGGGTTTGTGTGCCTGTTCCAACGCGAATACCTTCTCATCAGTGAAGAAAAGGCGCTCCCAATTTCCGTTAGCGGCCCGGTGTATCGGAGTTTTGCTTCTTTTAAACCGTACTTTTTTGTTTTCATCAGTAAGTTTCTGAACTTTTTTGAGTTTGTACGGCTTCATCTTCAAGTTCTTTCTGACTATACGGCAAAGTGAAGTTTCTTTCAGACCGGCCTCTCGTGCCATTTTACGTACTGGAGTCCTTGGGTTACGCATGAATCGCTTCTTGGTCCACTGTCTGTTGGCGCGGGTGTTTACAGTTGCTGGACGGCCACTTCTAGGTCTGTCACCATCATGTCCAAGCTCTACATACCGTCTGACCACTTCGGATACTGTAGCTTTTCCGATATTTAACGATTTCGCAATATCTCCTCTGCCTTCTTCCTTCTTTATGCAGCTTAATGATGGCTCCTCTCGTGTTTGGCATCTAAATAGAGACAGACGTTAGACATGAAAAACTCAGTTTTTTCTTATTTATAACAAAAAACTATGGGGAATAGGACAATCTTTAAAAAAATTATATAAATCGCGTACAACATAAAGAAATCGACCGGTAAAGTTAGTCTTTTGGCACACCCTGTACCATGCCCTGTCGTACTTTGCTCGGCTTTATTCTAATATAACGTACCCTATCATGAAACTACTCTATCATAGCCTACTCTATCATAACCTACTCTACCATGTCCTACCCTTTCATAAACTACTCAATCCTACCTTACCTTACTGTATCCTACCATACTCTACATTACCCTACCATAAAGTACCCTACCAGAAACCACTCTATCATAACCTGCCATATCATAATCTATAATACACTATCTCAACCTCCAGCCGTATTTTACAAGTAGTTACAACATTTAATGCTCAAAAACTGTTACTGAATACCACGTGTTTACAGTCAAAAAAAGTAAAACGGTTTTCAAGTAGCAAAATAATAAAAAGTCCACGAGAGAACTACCTATCAGCACTATAATCTGATTTTGAAACTCGCAAAACAACAAAATTTGTATAAAATTATGAGATCAACAATGATCAAAAAGCGTAGCAAAACATGATATAAAATAATATTTGTATGTCATTTAACATTTAACGACATACAAAGCCAAATTTAACGTGGTAAAAAACCGAATTTAACAACAGAAAGTCTAATCTAAAATTTACTAGTAAGAAGAGTAAACTTTTATGCTTTGTTCCTCATTTCAACCACGTAAAAACGTGACATTTCAGTTCAAAATACCATGGTTTATGTGCTTCTTTTAAAAGTTTGGATAAAAACGTTGTGTTTAGATTTAAAAAAGTAATGTAAAAAGTCATATAACAGCCAAAAATAGTTCCAAAAGTAGAGTCAAACGTTGAAATTTTAAAAAATGTAACAAGTTATCAAAAACTAAAAAAGTCTGTTACCAATACCAAAATCGTCATAAATACAGTGCTCAAATCAAAATAACCCTTGTTTTAACCTATAAAAACGAACGATAAAAACCATGTTTACAACATTAGTTTTGCAATCTTACCTTAGGGTTTCAAAAAGTTTTAAAGCCCTGAGGCAAGAAGGCAAATCCCAATAATAACTGGAAAACCCCTAATAATATAACCTTCAAAAGAAGCAAGTAAAAACCATATTAGAACCCTGAAGAACGGCAGGTACGGCCAATTTAGGAAGCCATAACGTGCCGTCCTTCCCGACGCACCCATCCATTTTAATTTGCCCTGAAGTAAAAGAGAAGAAAACATTTTTTCAGTTTCAAATAAGGCCAAAAAGTAAAAAAGCGAAGGGAAAAAGTTGTCTTTTTCTATAATCTTTCATGAAATACGTCAAAAAATACATTATAGTGAATCATTCCTTTTTTTATAAATTATAGGAAATATTCTTTCTTTCTCATAAACCATGAAGTCGGCATTACCTATTTTTTCAAAAATACAGCCAAGATTCTCGTTTCAATAAAAAAACAAAATTAGTTTGTTCAAAAATAGGTGAGCTACCTTTTTATAATAACAAAAAGCTTCATTGGCTCACCTATATTTGGACAACATGATATTTCTTTTATTTGGTAAAATACAACCCACAACAATCCCCTTTTTTCAATAATACAGTCAATAATAATTCTTCCCCCAAAAATACAAAACAGTCCCTTCCTTTCTCCAAAGTCACAACAAACAATACGTTTCTGATCACGAGGACATCAAGTATAATATCGAACACACAAAAAGAAACAATTTTTATTCATTTTCAATAGAAAAACAATCGAAATTAAAGCAAAAAAAACGTAAGGCAATGTACAATTTCTATATACAAGTTATTTACTGAGTAGTTTATAAGGTTTTGTCTATTTACTTTGAAATTTCATTTTCTAAAAAATTTTTAAAAAATTTTAAAATTTTGAAAAAAAACAAAATTTCTAAAAAAATTACTATAAACTGCCAAAATGTATGCGTTATATCTAATTTTAGATTATATGTACCTACAATAATATATTCATAAAAAAACAAAAAAATATAAATTTTAGGTAACAAAAATATTTATTTTAATTCTTTAATGTCTAAAAAACTTAGCTAAGCGTGTATATGCTTTAGCTAGTCGTAGATAACCTTTAGCTAATCATATACAACTTATGCTAGTCGTATATATCATAACCACTGCAGTATAACGCATACTTTCAATTCAAAAATTTACTGTAAAACTAGAGAGAAAAAGTAAAATAAAAAAACTTACAAAACAAAATATAAAAGCAATTTACGATAAAATAGTCAGTCATAATTGTTAAAATACCAACTGCCATTGTATTTAATCGTATCACTGTATCCGCAAGACAAGACAAATGACATGGCATTCCGACAATGTAAGCCCGATTATTAGGGTGGGGTAAAATTCTGATTGAAATAATGTAACGGACTCGTATTTGAATGATGGGATCAGAAATGAATGGAGGAGGTGGCGTATGTACAATATATTTACTTTGTCATCGGAAAATGCAAATTAAAATTCCATCCCGTAGGTTTCGTCTGAAAGTATATGATATAAAGGATGATATGAGTAAAATTTGAACAATTTTTAAAAAATTGACATCGGTCAAAAAGTTTATAGAATAAACTTTAATAAACCACAAAAAACCAAATCTTAAAGCTAAGCTTTTAAAAAATATTAGGTTGTTCAACTAATTCTGCACCCCCTCCGAAAACAAATCTTCAGGGTTAGGGGATACAGAATTAACCTGTGGACCGATTTTCCAAAAATTTTTTTTACCTACCTGTGCAATTTTTTTCGGATCGGCTCTGGGGGAGGGGGTACCCCCCCCCCTCCCCCAAACCACGTCCCTGCTGTTACTAACCCTTCTATTGACTTTTAGACCACCAAACACAATCAAAGCTTTCACTTCGATCAAAGTAAGTCATTAAACAACGGAATTAAAACCGTACCTTCTGAATAATCCGAGATCGTGGAATCGTCGTCATCGTCGCTCATGTCATCGTTATTTTCAGAACCGCACTTCAAAATACTGGCCAAGACGGCATCATTAGCATATTTTTGGACATAAGCTGAAAATGATAATTCAAGCTTCGTAAAATTACAAAAATTTTATAATTTCAAAAAAAAATTAATCCAGAAATCTTGATCTTCATATATCTTACCACTTGACCTTCAGGTATTTTATCAATGATATATTTATCATTTAAAGCATCATATAAAAAGATATCAATAAAAATCACAAAACTTACTAGAACAGATCTCTTTGAACTCTTCAGGCTTGTGGAGGTAAAGCTTGGCAGCTTCGCTGTTCAGAGGATCCTGAGGGTTTGGGTATGTCAAAAGTTGTGGCAGAAATGATTCGAAAATGTTGGCCAAATCTATAATCAATCATTTATATCAAATTCAAGCTTTGTAAAATAAGAAAAATGCATAAAATTTACAGAAAGAGCCTAGAATTCTACATTATATGCATATTATCCCACAGTAAAGAATGATAGTAAAGATCACTTCAATGTAAATCAAAACCTACACCCCGCTTAACCCTACAAAACCATCCAATATTATACTATTCTCATACTACCCAGTCCCCCACATCTTTAACCAAGCAAAACCTACCATAAAGAGCAGTCCAAGCTTGGTTGATCACGTCCAAACAGACAGTTCCACTCGACTCATCAATGTTTGGGTGGAAGATCTTGTTGGTGAATCCAATGGAAGGCGATTTGAATGGATACTTCTCGGGGAGCTCAACACGTACTTTCCAGACTCCTCCTTCGTATGCAGCTGAAAATACATATTAAAAAGTTAGTAAACATACGTTAAAAAGTATAGCAGTGTTCAAATTTCATTTTTATGATAAGTTGAATCTCTTATCAGCATTTTTGGTCCAAAAAAGACTTTTTAAATTATAAAAAACATGAACAAAAAAAGTAATTGCTTTATACTCTTAGCTGGCTTTTTCTGCAAAGTACCAATAATACTTACTTCCTTTTGGTCCATGGAACTTAACAGAAAACTCGTTAACGTTTCCTTCAACCACAACTTCATGTTTCGCCTCGATTCTGTAATAATACTTTATATGCATCATGTTACAATCGTATAGTTATATAAAAAGGTCTTAGTAAAGTGGCAAACTTATATCTAACCATTTTTCAGATTGTTTTTAATAATTTTTGAAGTTAAATTTTAAATTTTTTAAAATTTCAAGTTTTAGAACATAAATTTTAAGGTTTTAAAACCTCCAAACATAAATTTCCATCACTTCAACATCAAAAAAACTTTAAAAACACCCCTTAAAATCGCATAAAAAACAAAAGTGTCTTATCAGTGCTTTTCCATAAAACGTCTATTAATACTTGTTTTATCAGTTTATCAGCTGTTTGCCTCAAAAGCAGCGAGAAATCAAAGTTTATTTCCAAACTAATCATATTACAACGTAAAACAGCCTTGAATTTATGGCAATTAACGCCTTTGACCATAAACGAACCAATTAGTCAATGTTTATAGCTGCTTTTACGACAACGTTAACTGGCAAAAGACTTTGTTATAATGTTGTGGAGTTAAAGAATCATTGTTTTTGAGTTTGGCATTTAAAAAAGTTTAAAATTCTTTAAGGAATTTAAAAATTAAATTAAAATTTGGAAAATTTTCGTTAAAATTTGAAGTTTTCGAGTATATTTTGACATTTTTCGAACAAAAAGCTAAAAAAGCTTGTTTTGAGAAGCAGAATTGAATCGCCTAACTCTTTTTTGTTTTCCAGTGGTAATTTTTCGTTCCTAATAGTAATTTGTAAGTCAGAAGGTCGTATGACATGTTTCATATGACCTTGTTTATACTTTTTTAGACAATATGATTCGTAAAGTGACTCTCATAACGTGCCACTTCAAAAACGATGTATACAATCTTTCTTTATGCCTAGAAATTTCCTATCGTTACTGTTACGGCAATACCTATTTTCGTAACATCAAATTTGTCTATACCTACAACCCTCATATATAGATAATCATCAGTTTAAAGTAGGTACGAAACCTAATTGTCACACCTACTTTAAACTGATGCTTATTAACTCAAAAACCAAAAATTTAGTTTATAATGCATAAAAGCTCAATAACCATGCCACAAAGCTTCTACGACATTAATCACACTTTCAATGACATTACCTAAAACCACAACTTACAACTTCAACAGGTCCGTGTCCATCCGACGTTTACCGGCACAAGGCGAGGACATACTGGAAAGGTATTGGAAGGCAAAAGCAAGAGCAAGTGTGTGTCTGTTTGATGAGCGAAGAGAGGTTTCCTTCTCCTTCCTTCGCCTCTAAGACCAACGAGAATAGTGGGGGGATCTTGATCAGAAAACGAGAGATCTTCTGTCACGGCAGTCTGAAAGTATATACGTTACAAACTATCCCCATCCATCGACTGCTACCACGTTCTCGCGACAAACTTCGATTCATTGCATGATAAGACGGAAGGAAGTGAAGCTACTTCAGCTTTTTATTAATTTAAACGTTTCAAAAGAAGTATATAACGTATAAAACATTAATAGAAATACTACTGAAGTACCCAAAGGGACTGTAGTAATGTTACCATAGTATACAGAGGTGTATACTAGAGTAATGTCTCTATATTTCACAGTGAACGTACTGTAAACAACTGCCTGATAGATGAAAAACGTTTCAAAATTTAACTTTCCAGAATTTAAAATGCTTTTTTTCAAAACAAAGCTGTGATATGACCTTTGATACTCAAAAATCAGTCTCTAATCCATACGCTAGTACTATAATAAGCTTTTTTGGTGTCCTATAAACAACATACTTGTTTATACTTAAATCTACTGTTATAACTACCCGTAATTACAGTAATCTTTTTTTAAATCGTCCCCGCATGCCTCCTTCTACTGTCTACCCTCCACCAGCCTCGTCCTGCACAATATACTGCACTATTCCCTTCCACCGTCCCTTTTCGACAAGCTCCCCTCCCCCCGAAATCACGAGTAACATCGTAAAGCCCATTAGAAGGCAATGACAACTTCACTCCACTCACAAACCAATATACATCATCAATACCACAAAAGAAACACATTTCACATGCTCAGCAAAGCAGACTGAACGTCGCAATCAACCCACGGTCCTTTCAATTCAAATTTTCCACTAATCGAACCCTCTTATTCTATTTATTCGAAGGCTTTTCGCTCTTTATATTACACATTTTTTTTGAAAAAAGTAATCAAAAATAAGAATAATCTGTAGGTTTGAAACGTTTAATAAGAGTAGAAGGCCTATATTTAGCTCAACACATTAGTAGTTGTCTGATTCTACTGCTTTTACTTACAGTTGTTTTAGATATCAATCGTCTAAAAAGATAAACAAGCCTTGAATTGACACTAAAGAGCTTATGAACAAGATTTTGATGCCTTCAGAAGCTACAACACAATTGTACATAGACTCAAAAGAAACTTCATACCACTTGACACACTTTCAGTATCCAAAGTCCACCGTTTTTCGTCCAATTTAACGCTGTTTCTAGAATTTCGAACTCGACGCTCTATGTTTATAGCCAATAACTATACACTTTCACACCACAACACCCCTTTTGAGTCGTACAACCTAGTGCCATAACATTCGAGAACACAATATCAAAATGCCAGACCCCTACTAGTACTCTGTAAGCCAGTACAGTGCGACTTTAAAGGTCATGCGACCCAACATAATGACTGAAAAGCGGGGAGACTGAAGCGAAAAAGTCTCCTGACCGACGTTTTTTCAGAGCCCCGTTGGGCTTGCACGTGCTCTCTCTCCGCTTCCCCTCCTTCTTCTTCTTCAACTACCACAATTCGGTGGTTGTTCAGGCAGTCGGGACTCTTTCTCGCTCTAATCTCTGAAGCGATGCAAAAAGGAAAGACATCGGTAGAAGATCACGTGCACTCTCCCAAAAAACAACAACAACCAGACAGAACACACCAGCGTCCGATGTCGCAGATGAGGAGAGCTAGGAGAAAAAAGATTCGCTTTTTGATTTTGAATGGTTTGTACAGCTGAAGTTGAGTTAAAATGTTCAAAAGCTGCATTTTTGAGAACAAATATGCTAACATAACATTCATATCTGTTAAAAGGCTCATTTTAAAAACAAAACATCATCAAAACTTAAAATCAAAATTTAAAAAACATTACCATAAGCAAAACGTTACGTACCGTAATATTAATAATATGAAAAAGTCACCATACAATCAGTAAAATGAATTTTGCTGACCTTCTATACCTACAATCTGATACCCACAAAAATCAGGCAATATTTCGCTCGTATCAACAATAAACCTTAAAAAACTGTTTTCGAATGAAGATACAACTCTTCAAACTCCCCTCTTCCGTTTAGCATAATCACCTACAACAACATACTGCCCTCTGCTGCATAACAACGCTAGAAAAAGCAAGATTAAACACTCCAATCCGTTTGCATGAATCCAAAAATAAACATAAAAATATATACAGCCCCACAAACCATCGATTGTCCGCTGCGACGCCACACATCGTTAACCATACATTAAGAAAGGAAAAATATTGTTTTATTCATGGCGCAAAACACGAAAGTAAAAGTGGAAGAACGTAGAAGATTCGCATGAAAACCACAGGAACGACGTTTCCTACATCTTATCTATCATAACCGTTGCAGACGACATAACTATAGGAAGAGGTCATAATGACAAGTGCGACAAACAAACGAAGATATTATGTTACAGTAAGGTATGACAAACTGAAAAGCATCAAAAACGTCATAGAATATCCAGCAAATCAGTAAAACCATAAAAATCATACAGTAAATACAAGAATCTCAAAATATATCTCCAAAAACATGCCAACCAATAATTTTATTTTTCAACATGTTTTTATTTATTTTTGTGAAAACTTGTCTGACAGAGCAACACATAACTCGAAAGTACAAAATGTGTCGAGTTTTCTCTGTAAAATATTTTATTTGTAAAATTTTACAATTTTGTTTACGGACTCATTTGTCGCTTTAAAATTGTTTTTTCTACAATAAAAGTTTTTTAAAAATTATTTTTAATTAAGAAAAATATTATTTAAATATTTTAAAGGATATTTGTTAATTTAATTTTAAGTTCAGAGTGCATGTCTTGTTCCCATCTACGGAATGCATTCCTCAATTTTCCCCATCAAATTTGGGTTCTGTCAGAGTTTGGAAAGCCTATATTTTCAAAGTACGTTTAGTTTTATATTTCATTTTTTGATTTTTAGTTTTATGGCATTGATATAAGGAAGACCAGCTTGTTTTGGTAACAAAACGCTTATGTTTTGGTCGAATAGGCTTCTTTTTGGAATGTTTAACTTAAGGTTAAGATGCCTGTTTATTTAAGCAGTACAAAGTCTTACTATTTAAAAAAAACAGGATTTAAGACGTTAAATACAACAAGTTTTAGCTGTGGAAGTGAATCAGATTTGGCAGCAACGTTTGCGGTAATCCAAGTTTTAGTACGAACATTTGAATCCTGGAATGACACATTATGTGCTATCAAAATGAAAGGTCTTTATATTCAGTTTTCTTACCGAAGTCCATTAATTCTCTGCGTTGTATCGAAGGAACCAGCTAATTTGATAGTTCAATTGGACATGATCTACAATCAGGTCATCTCAATCTTGTCCAAAAGTGTTCTGAAAAAGACTTTTGCTGAGAAAGGAGATAACTTTGATTTGAGGAGATGGTTAAGCGACTTTGACAAACGAGTAGATGTTTGTTTGAATAGTTTCGTCGAGGATCCAGTTGTTTATTTAAGTGGATTCAGAATATTGCCATTGAATCCGAGTGATAGGGAGTTTTTGGTCAGCACGATGGGTGGATTTATTGCTGAAGCTACGGATTCTGTAGGTTTTTGTGTTATGGAATTACAAATTATAAAAAAAGGGTAAAATGCTATCCAGAGATATTATAATGGTTTTATAAACGTCTGGAAGCCCAGAATCTATGATGTGTGTATTTTTTTGCAGTTTTTAAAAATAACATTGAAAGGGCAGCCTGAAAACTTGTTTATCTGACGAATATCATATTTTATTAACGTTATATATGTTTTACCAATACATTTTGTTTTAGGTAGCGTTTGCTGTTCTAATAGCCCACAGACAACTTGTAGCTATGGTTAGAATGAAGCGGTTGGATTTAAAAGCTTCTGACTTTAACATCCTAGCCAATGTTGTGGAATGTCACTCGTCTTTGAGGGATGGAGAGACTTGGGTACCTATTTGTCTTCCTCATTTCAATCAAAAGTAAGTTGTTTGTTCAGTTTTTGATTTTTAGGTAATATAATGGTTTTTTGGACAAGATATGAAGGTTTTAATCAAAATCTTGAGGGTCGAATTAAAATATGAAGTTTTGAATCGATGTAAATATAATAATTTATGATTTTCAGTGCATGCTGGGCGTTTATCTCGTACCTATGGGAGGATGGACCTTGCTTGATAATATTAAGTACGGACAGTCAAGCGTTCTTCACGTTAAGAGAAGTAAAAATCAAAATATTGGAGAAGATAGATGGATACAAAAGGAAAAGCGAGCTTAAAACATCAATATCTCTGCCTGAACAAATGCTAAGAACACAGGTAAGTAAAAAATGTAAAATACGACGTTTGGGCAATTGATTTAAGTTTTAAAACGGGTTTTATTATGGAAACATCACATTAGTCAGTGTTAGATTATTATGTACTTTCTGTGGCAATTTTAAACATATTGTAATTTACTACGGTGCAACCTACTACAATATGTCTAAATCTTCTTTTTTCAGAAGCCAAACCCAGAGTTGTGGCATTTTATGTATAAGAATATATTATCATCGCAAGTATGTTGTTCATCCCCATCGAAGCCGTTCATATCATTGGAAGAACAAAAAGACTTGTACAAAGGTTACTTTGAAGTGTCAGATGTTATGAGGAGGTCGAAGATAGGACGGATATTGTTCGTACAACATGATACTTACACCATCTTTGTTTGGGTAGGTGTTTGGGGGTGGTGGTACACTCTTTTCGAAAACTTTGGTACTCTTTTTATAAAATGCTTAGAAAAGGTACGTTTTGTAACTAAAGTGTTACTCTTGGCTTACACTGGTGCTAAGTAGTACTGTTTTTTTTCAAAAAAGTCTATTTTGTTTTAATATGTTACTTTTGATGATGCTTTTGTTAGGCTTTTCAAATAATTTTGTGCTTCTAACCCTGAAAATTTGATTTTAGAGGGGAAAATAATTATTTGAACATCCTTATAGTTGAAAAAAAATTTTTTTGGTACAAAATGTTATTCTTTTAGACCTCAAACTAGTAAAACAAACAAAATTTTAGGTAACGGGTAGTTTCGAGTTGTACGCTGCCTTCTCTCCCATCGTAACGCAGGCTTCGGTGATGGAAGCGGCCGAAAAGTTGCTGCGAATCCTGCGCAAAGACGAGAAACGGGTATTCTTCAACGTGAACCCAGGTGTACTTAACGGACCGTGATACTTACAATACTGGTAACTGTACTGCTTTTTAAGTTTTTTAAAATTTTTTGAATGTTTTTAAAACTGCCATAACTGCGTTTATATTGTCTTACATGGATCTGACGATCTATATTCGGTTAGATGGGTTTATTGGTTATGTTGTGTTAGACTGATCTGGCGATCCATGTTCTCCTAGATAGATCTATTTTTTATGTTGTGTTAGCTGGAAGTGTTAGTTTATATTGTTTTAGGTGAATCTAGCATACTTTTGTTAATTTAAGCTTTCTGTAGGTCTATTGAATTTTAGGCTTAATTGGTCAAAAAGTAGATAGAAAATTACAGTATAAAGCTAATTTTACCAAAAAAGGTTTTTTTTACAAACTTTTTGACCGTTCACCACAACCGATTCTTTCACAGCAACTGGTCAATGCTTAGAAGCTTTGGGGTCTTCTATAGACTTTTTGACCTCATATTAGCCTTTTCTATACACTTTTGACCCCATGGTAGTCTTTTCTATGTACTTTTTGACCTTCTTACCAGCCTTGAATTTGTACGACCATTTGCAGTACAAATATTGTTGTCTTATGTACATAATTAAGTTTAGTTGACCATAAAAATTTATTTAATTAAACAGTCTGTTCTTACTATCATAATATAATATAACATTCCGCGATAAAAATATTTTTTTCTATTTTCTGTGTTCACGAAGACATTCCTTAAACAGCTCCAAATTCTAGGGTTTTCAGACTAAAGGGTACTAGTAGTACTAGACGAGAGTACGGTGCTGTTAGTACTGGACTAGGGACTAGTATGATAGTAGGATTTAGACTAGGGACTAGTTTGATGCTAGTATTATAAGGCTAGTCCTGTACCGTACTAGAAATACTAGTCTAGTACGGTACTATTAGAACCAGAAACTAGCACCATACTAATAGTACAAGACTAGATCGCTACAGTGTCAGTACCGTGCTAGCAATACTAGCCCAGTACGGTACAGATAGAGCAAAGGTAGGACTCAGCACCACACTAATAGTATAAGACTAGCTCACTAAAGTACTAATGATACAACAAATAATTGTTGGAAAGCGAAATCATAAAACCGCCTGAAGTTTTCCGAAACGTTTTTGTAGTAGATAACATTATTATACATCAACAAAACAAAAAGAGATAAGGGCGAAATGAGAGAGTGGAAAAGAAAAAAAAACGACCAGGTAATCGAAAAAAGGGACCAGTACGAATGGGCCCTAGTACCAAATTGAAAGATGATGTTCGTAGCGGATGGTACTGTAACATTAGGTTGGTTCTGATAGGGGGAATGGTACTAATAGGGAAGGGCAAGTGGCACCAGTAGGGTCTGTACTACTTAAAAATGCCAAAAAGTACCAAAGAATGGTACAGGTTACGAAAGTGGTACCACAATGTACTAAAAACAATGATGGTAACTAAAAGTAAAAGTAGTACTATTAATGGTCTTCTTGGTGATTTAAAAGTCCCAGTAGTAACAAAAGCCATAATGCTAATTAATGGTACCATTAATACTCTTACGACTAATCCAAAAGTCCCAGTAGTACCGAAAGCCCCAGCCAAACCCCTACAGTAACCTTCCGTTTACGGTAACATCTGATTGACTAGGAAAGAATGATACAAAATAATGATGGTATTTAAATTATATATTTTATTTAAAGTGACACGGCCACGTTTCTCCGCTCCTCACTGGCAGCTGGTCGGGCGTGGCGGCGGCGGATCCCCGCTCCGATGGAAGTGAACACAAACCCATCCCCGATTCCGTTTATGCCATACCCGTGTCTCTTGCGCTTGTCTGGTGCGCGCTTCGCCGTATCTGCAAGTAGGTTTGGGTAAGTATGGGTATGTAAGGTATGTAGGTATGGGTATGGAAATGAGTTTGGTGGGGGGGATAAGCATCACTAGTTGCTTTTTATAAATACCCTACCCATTAGTGTCGGGCGGGGTGTTTTTAGAAAGGGAGAACAGGGGGAGACAATTAAACCCTACTTTTAACATATGACTACCCTACCCCTTCCTAACTCATCTTATATTACCCTACCCTGCCCTACACCGTCCTATCTTACCCTGCGCACCCTGCCGCATCCTATTTTACCCTGCCCTATCCTAACCGATTCTATCTTGCCCTACCCTGCCCTGCCACATTGTATATTACCGTATCCTGCCCTACCCATCCTATTTCACCATGCCCTTTCCACCCCATCCTATCTTACCCTACTCTACCTTACATATAGTACGCCTTACACTATCCTACAATACTCCTTTACCCATCACCCCATACACCTCTCCCCAATCTAAAGGCACTTTCCTTGACCTTACTTCAACATATGTTTCGATAACAAACCACAAAACGGAACATCAACTTACTTATCAACGTACTGTGTTAGTCTGACATAGGCGATGCAGGCCCCGTCCTCGCCCATCAGATGGACGTTGGGGTTGAGGAGGGTGGTGTGGATCTGGGAGTTGAGCTTACTCGCCGCGAACGTGTTATTCACCGGTTTCGTGGAAGCGGACGGGGTCCCTGGAACAACTGTGAATGTCATAGTACGTTAAGCGGAAGCGATAGAAGTCGTTAAAGAAGGAGGTTTATAGTTTATATTGGATTTAGCTGGGGTTAATGGGTAGTTAAAGTACTGTAGGAGGTGTTATCAAAAGTTGGGTAAGACATAATAGGGTAGGGCAAGGTGGCGTAGACTAGGGTAAGGTAGCATAGTGTAGGGAAGGGTAGAGTAAAGTAGGGTAAGGTAGCATGGAATAAGGAAGAGTAGCGTAGGGGTTGAGTATGATAGAGTAGATTATGATAGGGTAAGGTAGGGTAGGGTTGAGTAGGATAATATAGGACGAGTTAAGGCAGGGTTAATTAGGGTGAGATAGAACGGGGCAGGACAAGATATTGTAAGGTAAAATAAGGTAAGATGGGATAGGGTAACGTAAAGTAGAGTGTATTATCAAAGGCAAGGGCAATTTCTTGCTCTTGCCTTTTCCATAGTTGCTTTTATGAATAGGACTGCCTTAGGGAAAGAAAACACCTGTTAGGGTAGGATAAAGTAAAATTTTAAAAAAAAGTAGGGAAGCGAAGAAAAAAATTTTTAATTAAAAGGCTTAGTGCAGTTAATAACTTTAAAAATTTAAAATTGAAACTTACTGTTATCAAAGTAGAATCTGTGGAAGTCCATGCCTTCGATCAAATTCCCCAATGTTTCTGGCTCAAAGCACGTCATCGAGGGGTCACAGAGACGTCTGAAACCAAAAAATTTTTTTATTTTTAAAAATTTTTCTGTCAATACTTTTTGAAATTTCAACAATTTAAACTTTAAAATCAATATTTTAATGTAAATTTAAAAAAAATTTTGAAATTAAAAATTTTTTTTTCATTTTTAACTTTTATGACAAAAACATCAAACCTTTCCTAAACCAAAAAGAATTAACAAGTAGGTATCAACTTACGAGTAGGCCTCAAAGTCTTTACAAGATATGGCATCAAGAAGCTGTTGTGTGACCCGAACGATCTCTTGTTTTTGCACTAAAATCATGTTTATAAAGTTGAAAAAAAATAGAGAGTGTGTGTGTGGGAGAGAGTGCAGAGAAAGCAGAGCGTGAAAAAATGAAAAAGCATAATTAAAGTTTATAGCTGGCTTTATTACTTTAACATATGTTTGTTGACCTTAAACTTGAGTTTTAAGCTTGTTTTGGCTTTAAACTTGAGTTTTAGGCTTATTATGCTTTTAAACTTATGTTTTAAGCTTATTTTGGTTTTAAACTTGAGTTTTAGGCTTACTTTAACCTTAAACTTAGTTTTTAGTCTTATTGTTCCCTTAGGCTCGAGTTTTAGGCTTATTTTTATCTTAAACTTGCGTTTTTGGCCTATCTTGACCTTAAACATGAGCCCTAGGCTTGTTTATCTTAAGTATCATTAAGATTTCTATAAATTCAAGCCCTGAGGCCATTAGATTTAAAACCTTCTGTTTCACCTTTAAAAGTTCAAAAAACCTCAAAAAAAAGTTTAAAAATTCGGCTAAAACCAGTAAAAGATTACATCGACCAGGATCAGTCTGACTGCTCCGTTTTCCGTTGACCAAATGCGAATGCGGCGACAACTGGGGCAAGGGCGTTTTAAACACCGGATCGTACATCTATAGCTCAGTAAAGTTTAGCAAAAAACTGATAACTAAACATTAGAATAGGGAACGAACGGTAAACTAATATTACAGTAGTTATAAACACGCTTTCTTAGTATAAAAATGCCATTTGAATATAAGTTATTGGCCGTTGAAGTTTTAAGACAAAGTTAAACGTGGTCTCCTCTGTTAACTTTTCAAAAAAAATTTTGAAAAATTTTTTAATTTTTAGATTAGGACTTTTTGACCTCTCTTCTACCGTTGTGAAAAAAGTTTTGAGGCCCCTCAATACAAATTTAAAAATCTCAAAAACCCTTTAAAACCCCTAAAACTTTTTTAAAAATCGAAAAGTTTTGAGCCCCCCTCAATACAAATTTAAAAAATCTCAAAAACCCTTTAAAAACCCTAAAACTTTTTTAAAAATCGGCCAAAACCCACCCCTCCCTCCTCCCAAAATCAATGTTTTTGTTTATCAACCCGTTCCCAGCGTTCTATAAATCCCAATATAAAATACTGAACGAAACTCTCGTTTAATTTATCGGACTGCACTTAACAGTCCCACCAACTTCCACACTAGCCCTCGGTCTTTTCGCCGTTTCTTGGGCCCTGAGGCGAAAGACGACCAAGACTGGGAATAATGGCCGTCGCTCATCCCCTGAGGGCCGGAACATCCCGAACAGACCCCGAGGCGTTGTGTTTCGAATCAAAATATGTGAGGGCCACCTACTTGACGGGTTTCGAGCCCGGAGGGTTTTTAAAGATTCGGGCCCAGTTTTTGGTGATTATTTGATGGTTATGATAAGGAAAATGGATTTTGGAGTGAACGGTTAGGATAAAGTTTGAAGGTTTTGAAACAATTTTAGTTTGCTTAAATTTCAAAAATCCTTTTTTAAACAATTAAAAAAAGTCTTGTCGTCAATTTACACTACTTTTACAGATAAAAAACGACAAAACTTTTTCGCCATCCCAATATTTGCCAATTTCCTTTATCAAACTCAAATCTGCTTATCGCTAGCCTTTTTTTGTTTACCGACCAACTAACTATCCCATATAACGATCCCTTTATGATGTGAAAGGAGGAACGGCACGGAAACCGAGAGTTTCGACCAACGGAAACGGCCCAAAGAATGAGTAATCACAACCGATTTCAGCTATTTACCAACCATGACTATACAAACCGCGCCAAATGACGCATCTGGCAACATTAAGCTGGCCAAAAATGTTTTGATTTTGGACTAATTTTTAAAAAATTTAAAATTAGAGCTTTAGGCTAAAATGTCAATTAGAAATCGATTTTTAAGCTAAACTGCCATTTAAAAATTCATTTTTAGGCTGAAACGATGACTTGAAAATTGATTTTAAGGCTCAAAATTTCATATTAGGTCGTTCAAATAATTCTGTGCCTCAAAGAAAATTTCGGCGGTTAGGGGCTCAGAATTACTTGAACGACCTAATAAAAGCAAACATTGTTAAAAATTTACAGTTTTTGGCTAAACGCTTCTAAATGCATTTATAAATTCAAAAAGTCTTGTCGTCAAATTACATAGTTTTGTAGGCTCTAAAACGACAAAACTTTTTTTTTAAATTTGAAAAAATTTTTTTTCGACATTTTATACGAGGCTCTTCAAATAACCCTGAGCTGCCTCTCAAAGGCAATCTTCGACATTACGGGGCACGGAATTATTTGAACAACCTATATAGTATTATAAAATCAAAAATTTTAAAAATGCTGTAAAAACAAAAATAAAAAGCAAAATTAGGGATGGTTTTGCAACTTTAAGCTTGAACGGACATTATCAAGTTGATCCTATCAACAAATAAATTGACATTAAAACGTCACAAAAGTCTTGTCGTTTTTGTCAGTGTAAAGCAGTGCTGATTGACGACAAAACTTTTGTAAGATTCTGGTTTATAAGCAATAAGCATTAGCGGGTTTTCGGCTTTTCGTAACTTAAACTTGGAAGTTTAAAAGGCATTTCAATAGGTTTTAAAATTTAAAAAAGTCGCAAAAAAATTGAAATTGCAAAGAATTCTGCGCGTAACTTAGAAAATGCGTAAAATGAAAGAAAATATGCAAATTTCAGAAAAAAAAATCGCAAAAAATGCAAAAAAAAACATTAAAATTTAAAAATTTTAAATATATGCAAATTTGAAAAAAAATTCAAAAAGTGCAAATATGCAAATTCAAAGAAAAAGTGCAATTAGCACCAGACCAGAAATGCCTTAAGAAACGTGATTGGAAGCTCACCTGGCAAGCTGTTGGCCTGGCGTGGGGTGGCGGTGGCGGGCGTGGGCGAGGCCGGAACGACCGTGGAATTGTTGACCACGTTATTGGTCTTGGGCATGCCGGTGGTGGTGTCCACTCGCACCACCGTGTTCTCGTGCTTTAAGAAGGTCGAGGAGCCAGCTGCAGAATCATAGAGAAAGTAAAAGCGTTGGGGCAAGTTTGCGGCCGTTTTCCGGCCTTCTCAGTGTGATAACAGATCAAAAATGGAACGGCAAATCACTACGGTAAAAAGGAAAACTGGGTTTTAATGTTGAGTTAGTGCTACGGCATAGGGATGGTACTATAGGTAATAACAGTGTAATCTTGTTATAAGAAACTACAACAACCTACAATTTTTTTGCTATTATTTTGTTCAAATAATTTTGAGCTCATTCAAACCAAATTATCAAGATTAGGGGCACAGAACTATTTGAACAACCTGATATAACGGCGTTGCTCATGACAAGATTCTACTGTACTTCCAGCCAAAAAACTTATCATAATAAAAGTAGTACCATACACCCAAATAGATAAAAGTAGTACCGTATATCCAAATATGGTACTACTTTTACCTAATAAGCCCTATACATACCGTAGATCATATAAAATCAAACCCAAAATGAAAATATTAGATAGATCAATTAATAATGTCATCTTTTCCTTAGGCAATGCCATCTTATCTTACTGTTCAGCTATCTATCAATAGTAAGTGCAGATACCAACATTATTATAAAAAGAATAGTAAAAGAGGTGCATAAAAGACGAAAAAAGTGAAGTTGCCGGCGGGTTTTTTCAAATTTGAACAGGTTAAGCCTAGTATATCATTTTGAAACCATTACCATCTTATGCTAAATTAAAAAAGCTTTTAAATTAGCTATAGAACATTGACTTTTAAGCTAAAATAACTTGGGTGTAGATCAAAAATGGCAAAAAATTAATAAAAAATGATCCCAAAATGATTTTAAAATTTCAAAAACAGTTCAAAAAATCATTTCCAAAAAACCAAAAACTTTGTTTGACTTTCATTATTTGCCCAGCAGCACTTTCTTCTCAAAATTCTATTCAAAAACACTACTTTCTGCTCAATCCCCCCCCCCCTCCTTTTCAATGTTTTTTCTAATACAACAACAATATCCTTTACAATTGTGATTTAAAAATTGATTTTAAAGCTCAAAACGTTTCAAATTATGCTGTGCCCCCTCTGCAAATTTTCTGGATTAGGAGCACAGAATTCTTGAACAACCTAATAAAAATTGTAATTTTTGTCACTTTTAATATACCCAAACTTCAAAATCAACCATTATCCCTGTCAATGTCCAAACCTGTCCACACATTAACCTTGTCAAACCCCAACCTGCCAAACAACTTTGTCACAAAAAAACGAAAAGTGTGTCACCGAATGTACTGACAGAATGAAAAGAAAAAAAGAAAATCAAAAAATTCGGTCGTTTGCCATACATTTCGGTTTATTGATATCATCAGACTCAAATATGCAATACGATTATGTTGGGAGGGGTTCAAATGTCCGTACATTCGGCTACAGTAGGCTACAGTAGAAAGAACAGAAAGTTGAAGAGTAAAAAAAGAGACGGCTGGCGAGCTACCAGTAGCTTCAAAGATACTAAGACTACCAGTAGCTCCAGAAAAAGGAAATTTATAAGGGGGTCGATTTTTGAAATTAAGGGTGAATTTGAAGCTTGCAGGCCAAGCAAAAAATACTTTAAAATTTGAGTAAAGCATACTTCAAAAACTGTGAAATTTGCATAAAATCAATTTTTTAATTAAATTAAGCCAAAAATGACGTTTTTATCAAAATGTCATCATTTTTCATCAGAATTTCGTGTTTTTTTTACCAAAAAATAATTTTTTTTCACTTTTCCGAGTCATTTTTTGCAAACCCATACAAACAACTATTTCAAAAATTCTCGGAATAATACTTTTCTATCACTTTCGAAAGCATCTGAAGCGTATTTTACCAAAAATTCTCGGAAAATCTGCACCGTGCACCCAAAGCAGCCTTGGAAAGTGCATTGTGCAAAAAGTCCGAAAACTTTTGAAAAAAGCAGAAAAAATTGAAATATTAGGAATTATTAGGAAAACAAGATATCAAGGTTACTATAACTAAAAAAGAAACTATGTTAATTAGGCTTGTCATTAAAAAAACCGAAAAATCGCAAATTTTTAAAAAATTTAAAAAAATTAATTAGCGTAAAACTTAAAGTTTTAGAATTGAAAATTGTAGATTATAGTATGAAAAACCATTTTTTATGTATCGTTTCATAAAAACACAGATTTTCAGTTTCTTAAATTGCAAAAAATATTTTGACTAGGCGCAGGCTGCAGGTTAGTTAAAAGGTTATAAAACTGCTTATCGATAAAAGATGAGAATCCTTTTGATTATATTTGTCACTAATAGCAAAATAAAATCGCTTTCTATCCAAGAAAGATTTACAAACTAAATTTTGTCTGTATTTTGTCTATCCGATATTGTAGTAGGTCTAAACCTCGAAATTTAGTCATCATATGTAGCTAATTTTTGTAAAGTTTAAATAATTTGAATGAAAAGACGCTTGAAATGTTAACTATTAATTTTCTGTCTATTTTTCAGCTTGCTAAGCTTACTATGTTACGTTAGCTAGAAACAGAACTTGCAAAAAAGGGGAGGGTATGGTAATTAGGGGTAAAGTAATTAAGAGTAGGGGTAGATGCATATAAAGAAGGATCAAAAACAAGCACACAGCAATCAAAAAACAATCAAAATGCGTTAGTATGTCAAAAATTAATGATCGAGCGTTAATAACAAGCCTGCTCGTTAACACGGCACGGTGGGAGACGCTTAAAAATCACCTTTATCGCCATCGTTATCATCGAGGGTTTGGCTGGACTCGCTGGACTCCTTTATGGTCGAGGGTGGGGCTTCCTTCTTGTTCAACAGGTTGCGGCCTAAAAGATTGGGTGTTAAGCGATTTGGCTATTTATTGACTTTTTAAATTTTTTATTTTATCCACCCCTAATTAAAAAAATTACCACCCCGAAAATTTTTTTAAAATGCCATAGGCAGTGTTTATCTAATTTTTTTTTAAATATTGGTCATTTGTCAGCTTCAGCCTAAAACTTTTAAAAATCCCCCCCCCCTCCAAAATCTACCCTCCGTTTATCCCATTTCGCCCCCCCCCCCCTCCAAAACTAAATTAAAGACCAACTATTGTCATCGTATGTCCCATGATCAGTGTTAGACCCTTCGTCGTGCAAAGTAACATGTTCATCATTGTCTAGGCTTAAGAACTCTGGATAGTCTACAGAAGTCTCGACAGATTCCATTAGGCTTACATGCCCAGAATCTGGAACTGACGACGCTTCTGAAGCCCGATGACTGGCTACAGACGGAGCATCCGAAGTTTTTCGATTAGAAAAGAATGTAGGTATAGAGAAAGGATTGAGGCTGGAGAGTGGTCTTGTAGAATTAGATTCTGGAGCCATTACGTCTTCTGAAGTAGTAGCAGATTCTAATACTTTAGTAGAAAGGTCTTCCCGGTTAACAGTTGAATAATTATGTAGATTATCACCACCCGTAGTCAAATACCCTTCCAAAGCCATATCACCTTGTATATCCCCTCTATTAGTCATATCTTTCGTAGTAACCCGTCTGAATCTTCGTTGTGCCTTATCAAAGATGACTGGCCTTAGGTCAGGAGCAAATACTCCAGCTTCTCTAGCTCGAATCGCTTCTTCATGTTGAGCGATCGTACGTTGATTAACCCGCCCATGAATAAGATAATGAACGGCCGCGCACACCGAAGCCGATAGAACGAAAGGCCAAAGTGAACGAATCCAGGAGACGAAGGCCTCCCAGAAGTCATCAGAAGGCTTCATGGAGAGTTCTATCGTCATTGGAGGGCAACATATAAATCTAGAGGCTTCGGGATGCTACATAGGTGTTTGGAAGGTTATCATAGATAGAATAGACTTTATAAATTTTGTGTTTTAGTTACTTTAAAATCATCAGACGACTAAATAGCACTGTGTTTAACCTTCCATACCACAAAGTGTAAGCCTTAATACGTCCAAATTCAAGCTTCAATACTCAGCACTAGCCAGCGAATAAGATAGTGTAGTCTCAACAAAACACCCAACAATAAGTCAGTGTAGCTTTAACAATAAGACGCTGTAGCCAACCCCCTAACCGGATGATAATAACACCATTTAAAGTCCAGTTCGTTTGGGTTTTTTGCGATCGAAAAAATGGAAAGCCACGAATTGGAAGAGCCGGATTAAGGCCCGCCAAAGCCTGGGGGCCAGAAGGGCTGATGAGAGAAGACAGGCACTCGAAATTAACAACCTCCCCCCTTCGATCTCTCGCCCTCTTCCCCTCAGGCGGATCCCTCAAAAATCGCCTCGCAAAATCCATAATTCTCTTAACGAGCCGAACAAAAGATAGCTGGCCGTGGAAGAGCATAGGAGACCCGGATTAATGTTCACATTGTTAGGTAAATATAGTATAAAAAAGACAAAAAGTGCACTTTAGAATAGTGGGCATTTGTTCAAAAATAAATTTAGAATTTTCAATTTGAATGCTAATTCTTTGAAGTGAAAAAAGTAAAAAATGTGCAGTTTTTAAGTAAAATAAGGTCTTTCCGTCAAACCCTTTTATAAAAAACTATCCTTATAGCCAAAAGCCTAGCTACCTGATCTAGCTTGTCTATTATTACAGTCAAAATCCAAGCTAAGACAGAGCTAATAAAAAATGTCAGTCTGAGGCAAGTTATTATAAAAAAGGGCCAAACCTAAAAATGCAGTTTTCATGTCTAGATGTAGTTTTACAAATAGTCATAGTCGACTTTATTCCTTAAAAATTCCGCTTGATCTTAAAAATTTTTATTAAAAGGAACGACCCACTACAGGCAACGCAAAATTCACTAAGCACTAGGCCATAAGCATCTTTTTTCATATTTGTTACTTTTAAAAACTGTACTTTAATTTAAATTTAATCTCATAGTACTATTATGTCACAACTTCTTTTGTAAAAACCATTACATTAAAAATAAATGCGAAGCAAAAACTAATGACATCTAATTAAAAATGATATTCTACTACAATATAAAAAACCTTTTTCAAATTCAAATCTGTTCATATTTCTCAAAGGGTTACATTACTCAAAATGTAAGACCTTTCTAACACCCTAAATGCTTGCTCATACCCTAAAGTTTTAAGGCGTGAAGGCTAGTACATACCCTGAAGTATCAAACCCTGAAAGCTGGTCCACAACCGCAAACCCCCAAAAACCGCTCACAATTATTGGGATCAGTATTAAACGTCCACACAACCATTTCCGCAATCTCTGTCATGTCCAACAACAATTTGGCCGTAGCCGACTCGATCGACTTTGACCGGCGACGTACCAGGACAGGAGAACGGCGACAGAACAACCGAAACCCCTCCTCATTGTCGAGATGATTCTGTTGTGAAGCGGCACGTCGGATGGGGTAGATTGATCGCGACATTCACGACATTTTAGATCAGGAAGCTTGCGTAGAATAGCTTCGTCTTGGCTGTTGATTAAGTCAACAGGTTGTGTTGGTCAAGTTCTGTAGCTCTTCTTAAACTCTCTTGGTCAATATTCAACTCCTTCGTCCGTCGTTCAACTTTAATATCCGCTTTTCAACGCTTCTGGTTCAACTTCTCCGTTCAGCTGCTCGTCTACCTTTTGGGGCCGACGAATATGCGAGAGGTGTAAAGGGTGGGGTCTTTACAACAACATCCCGCAGCGAGAGAAGGGACAGGCCATTAGAGTGTCAAAGGCCCTTAGGGGGGTTTAATCGATGGCCAGGATCTCTCGCCCGTCTTATCGCAGGCCCCGCTGGGATTACGAAGAACGTAGATAATATGTAGATTGGGAGGCGAACGATAATACTGCTTATGTTGGTAGGAGAACGGAGATAATGCATGTTGTAGTAGAAGAATGGAGATAATGCATGTTGTAGTAGGAGAACAAAGATAACGCATGTTATAGTAGAAGACCTTAGACAATGCATGTGCCAGTAAGAAGACAAAGATGATAGATGTTATAGTAGAAGAACAAAGATGATTCAAGAGAACGAACATAGTTGTATATCTATCACTGTTGTTGTCACGTGCCTAGAGAGCGCAGAAGACAAAAGATATGGTAATTGGCGGCTTTTTAGAATAATTAAAATTGTTGACACTAAGAATATTAAAAGACGAAAAAAAACCTTTAATCCGAAGGAAATCGGACACTTTTTAATATGATATTACCCTAGGTAAACAAGTTTCATATACATGTATTATCCTTGATGGAAAGCTGCAAGTCTGATACCCTACCGGTAGTAGGATAAGCTTATAATTCTATGAGTAAACATGTTGTAGTAATCAAAGTTCTTAAAAAAGTAAATCTTTTTTCAAATTTGATTGCTCACATTATCTTTTATCGTACGTATCATCCTCAGTATCAGTATGATCAGTTATGACAATTGTCATCTATAAAGTTTCTATACTTTTCAATTTGAAGCCTTCAAAACTAGAGGCATTAATAACCCCGCCTGTCAGAAGAAGTAACGCCTTTAATTAACGCTTTTGCCAAAGTAATATAGAGCAGAGATTAGTATAATACTAATGAGTAAACAAACATAATCGCCAATTTGCCACTCTCAAGCATTATTATAGCTACCAAAACTACTAAAGATAGTATTAGAGGCTACCAAGTCTATTAGAGATAGTATTATAGAAACTAGCAAGACTATTAGGGAGTCTATCACGTGTTACCTATAATAATAAATGGCCTAATAACTCGTATAATACCTTTAAATCTCAATGTATTGATTTAAAAGTCAAAGTGTAAAGTATTGTAGGTAATACTTAATAGTACAATGGATTGTTTTCCATTTTTTGCACTAACGCTTTTAAACCCTAATAACTCTTTTTTAAATCATAAGACCTCTTATAACCCCCAAAAAACCAAAAATATTGTTGACGATTACCTTCAGCATTCAAATAGTCATAGTCGACTTTATTCCTTGGCTCAGCCGTTAATGGACAGCTCCCTCTCGTTGACACAGTAACCTTGTTCAAAGTTAATGTAGACGGTTGCTTATTCGAAGGTTTAATGCCGTAGTTTGAGATTGATATCACTGGGGCTGACGTTTTCCTTCGCGTTTCTGACTCTCTGAGAAAGTTTTGTTTTACCATATGTAGTATGCTTATTCTATTGGCTTTAAAGTGGCTTAGCTAGAAGATTATAGTCAGTAGCACCATATCCTAATAATCAGTAGTATCAGCACTCATATGACTATTACTAACTAACATAGATGCCTATATAACTTATAATCAGTAGTACTGAGTCAGTAAAGTAGTTATATCAGTACTACTAATACTAAATACAGTATCACTTCTACTCATATAACCTACACCTACATCCCTACCACCCTTAAGCCATCTTTTACCTGACAGCCGACTTTTTTCTAGAAGATACAAAGTCCATGATGCCTGACATCACGCTTTTCACGGTTGATTTTTTCTTTTTCCTCGAATTTATCGATAAATCAGCGATGGAATCAGAAATCGTCAGATCACATGACGATGACGCTGTAGCCGAACAGATAGCCGAATCAGCCGGGGAATGGATTTGGCCAGAGATATCGTCATTGGAAAATGATCTCTGAGCTTGGCGGATCCTACTTTTCATACCCTATTACGGTATGAGTTAGTACGGTAGTTAAATTTTAAAAAAATCAAAAACGCCAAAATTGAAATTTTTTAAATTTAGAGTGAAATTAAGCCTAAACAATCGACTTTAAGCCTAAAATTACTAAAAAGTTACCTAATCCTTCAAAACACCCCATCCCCCAAATTTAAATTAATTCAACAAAGGCTTCAAAACACCCCCAAATTTCGAAAAACAAAGCTTCCACCCCTCCTTTCCAAAATTCACTAAAATCGGAAATCATGCAAAGTCCCGGAGGCTATGTTGTTATCGCCAGTCGCATATGTTATTAATACCACGAAAATAAATAATCCTTGATTGTTCCGACTGTCTGATAAGCCTCTAATACGCTGTAAACATTTCCGGAAACCAATTTTAATCAAGCCTAACCTTTGCGAAACGCTAATTGAAACAAGATGTTTTCGAATATGACTCAAGGTTTCGCTTTTATTAGTTTTAGCAAGACAAAACGCTTTTTTTAAAAAAAAAATTTTTTGAAAATGTTGAATTTGGTCCCCCTGTGAATATTTTTGCAAAAATTTTAAAAAATTCAAAAAAATGCCCTTTGTATGCCTTCTACAATAACAACATATCCCTCTATAAGACCCTATTTTAAGCCGTCTTACCCTTCAATGCCTTCAAACTAAAAATCATATTTCTCTACCCAGCCCTACCCCTAAAATCCCATCATTATTCTAGCTAGTTTGAGGCCAGAATTCCACCCCAAAACCTCCCTCCAAAGCCGGGTAAAATGTTCCGCGTTTTTCCGGCAAAAGAACGAACAAGATGCCTTAAGGGCGATCGGAAATTGAATAAACGTTGGTCCGTGTGTTTCTCACGAGTGCGCGACAAATTATGACAACAGATACGGGAGCCCCCCGCCCCGGTCTTATCATCGCGCGGGTCTATTTTCTTTTCAAATTTCTTGGTTTGAATGCAATTGGCAGCAGGTTTCGGGAAACGGTCAATATTTTAGTCATACCATGGGTTTATTAGGTAATTTCGGTTTGCTTTTTCAAATAATTCTGTACCCCTCTCAGAGCAAATTTTTGAAGTTCAAAGGCACAGAATTATTTAAACAACATAATAATTGAAAGCGATGTGGCGTTTAATAAAGGTTTAGGCTTTGGGGGTAGATTAGTGAGTTTTAGAGCTCATTTTCACTTATTTTACTGCCCCTACCCAATTTTTTTTTAGAAAAAATGTTGGACATGGTCCCCCTGTTCATTTCTCAACAAATATTTTTAAAAAATCATTTTTACGTCGTCTTAAGTTCCATAAACATGACCACCCCTTCAAAAATACTTTCACCTTCTCAGCGTTCATATCCTCCCTAAAAACCTCCAAAACCCACACCCTACCCTTCAAAACACCCTTGGAAACCAAACCCAGTTCAACAAACCGAATTCCCGAAAAAACATGTTGTCTGTCCCCTTGAGCGCACTAGAAAAAAAAACCGTTCCCAATAAAATGGGGGTGGATATTGAACATGCGACCCGAGGCCCGACCCTTGCCTCGCTCCTTAACTAATTGTGTGTATTGAGACCGGGTCTTAAGCGGCGCTGTTTAAGGAGGAACAATTTGCAAAAGAAACGGAATGTACAAATAGAAAATCCGAAAAAAGTATCGCGGTTGGTAAGGTTTTAATCGAAATTTTAGAGTTGGTTTAGGAGAATTGGCTCTTTTCTTAAGAAAAATGAAAATTTAAAAAGTTTTCTTTTAAAAAATTCGAGTTTAAACTTTTTTCTTTGTTAAAAAACAACCTTTGAGCTGGTTTAAACTATATTCTTTATATAAAAGAACCTAAAAAGTATCGTCGTTTTTAAGCGATCAAAACAATATAACTTGACGCCAAGGCTTTTTTTGATATATGTTATGTTGTTCAAATAATTCTGAGCCCCCTGTATCCAAAAATTTGCTTTGAGAGAAACCACAGAACTTTTTGAACAATCTAATGTGACATTTTAACCTAGAAAATCAATTTGTATAATATAAAAGTATCCTTTATATAAAAGCCTCTAAAACAACTTAGTTTTACCTAAAACATTCTTTTCTTTATCAAAAACAAGCTGGAGTTTTCAAAAAAAGTAAAAGTTAAAAAATCTTTCCAAATCCTCCCCTATAATAATAGTTTAAAAACCGAAAAAGTTTGGAAACAAAGTTTGTCCACCTTGACGACACACTTAATTACATATTCAAATCCCTCCGCCCGCCTGCCACTTATAAACGTGAGCTTATGAGAGGAGGAACACACGGGTCATCATTGTAGGAATATTTCAACGTAAAATAGATGACATTACTTTATGGAGTTAAAAATTGAAATAATTTATACTTTTAGTACTAAACGAAGTAAAAAGTACAGGTATACCTATAGGTATAAATTAACCTGATATTAGATTTTTCAGGTAATCCTGAGCCCCCTCTGCAAACAATATTCGGGGTTAAAGGGCACAGCATTACTTGAACAACCTACATAATATATACTTCTCTTTACTACTGAACGCCTTCAAAGCTCAAAAAGTAAAAGTAATATCTTATGTTTCAAGAAAAAGCCCTACTGACCAAACCTTAGAGTCTAGTGACATGTCATAACACGTTAAGCTAACCTAATGGCCTAAGGATGTTCTGCTTTCCTAATGCCTAAAAAATGAATGTTCTGGCCAAGCTCTAGATGATAAGAAAGTATCTTTAGATAAGAACAGTATATCGTAATAAAGTTTGTACGAACAGTATTAACTTTAAACCAACAGTATTAACATTAAAGCTCATAAGGCCAACATTACATTGCAGTAGAGCTTCCCGGATTGTTTGTCAAAGATTATTTTTGCGTATTTCTGGAGTTTTCTCGATGATTTCCCAGCTTTCGAACGCATTATGGGCATTGTTGGACGTGACGTCGGCAAACAAAGACGTTACTTTTTATGGGATGACACAGTAAACTACTATTTTTAGTAGTTAAATGACACAGTAAAAAGCTACTTTTAGTGTACAAACTTGTAAACATAAAGTTTTTTGAGATTTTCATACTCATATGTGATGGTGACTATGTTCTACTTGATAGTACAGTGTATAAGAAGCCTCTAACAATATGCCCTCGACACTCAAGACCTTGGACAAAGTGTGAAAAGACCTAAATAGAGCTTATAACCTACAACAAGATCTAAAAACCCTGTAATTCACCTTCGAAAAGTTGTTGTAATGACCTCCCTCATATAGTACAAGACTGTTCAAATAATTCTGAGCCCTTCAACCCCAAAATTTGCTATCAGGGGTAGCTCAGAATTATTTGAACAACCCAATAATATAAAAACGCCCCCTATTATATATTTTTAAGGCCAAAAACACTAATAGCACATCCCTTAATACCACCAGACTCTTCCCATATCCACCTCTCCCATGCCACATACCATCAATAATGGCAGTGGTCTCAAAATAAACTCGAATCAAAAATACGATGACATTGTCTTAAACGAAAAACAATTACTTGGCCTTAATTGAAGCTGACAAATGACAGCCCTTTAGTGATAAACAAAATACGCCAAAACTTACTGGACAGGTTGCGGGTAGCGATCATGGTGGTGAGAATGGCGCCCTGAAAACAAAAATTTTTGAAAATTTGCATATTTTGGGGGTGATCCTGAGACGTGCCAAAGCGAAATCATAGTATTGTAGGTATAGGGGAGTGTGGGCGAAGTAGTGGGGATGCGTTTAAAAAATTATGTTTTATGAAGCCTGAGGCAACATTTTTTCAAAATTTTTGAATTTTCATTTTTAACTTCAATTTTTAAAATTTGTCATTTTCAGTATTTATAAATTTAAATTTTTCAAATTTTTCGTTTTTTAAATTCAAATTTTAAGAATTCCAAAAAACTTTTAAAAATTCAAAATTCATAATCTTTTCCAACATACCATCCACTACCATCTCCCATCATCCCCCCAACCATCCTCACTAGCTGTTAAATAAAAAGGGGCACAAAGGAGTGCGAAGCCAGTGGAAAGTGTAAGCGAACAACAGAAGCACAACGGTTACGCCAAAATACAACAACAACTACCTCGGCGCTGTAGGTTTTGGAGGGTTGAACTGAGGTTGTGGACTCTAACCTCACCACGGTCGGTTGTTGTTCGGAGGGTGAGGGCGCGGCCCGCTTCTTTTGCGTCGTTGAAGGCGGCGACGATGCCGATGATGAGCCGGAATCCGCACTATTCGTGTTGGCACTTCGGAAGGCGCTACTCATTCGATTGATCACGGTGACCGCCGAAATGGCCGCCTATACCAAATGAAACAAAACAACATCAAAAAATAAAAAAAAACAACAACAACACAACCACAATGAGAAGGGAGGGGTAAGGTGTGAAAGAGGGGTGGATAAGAGGGTCGGAGTTAAAAAAGATTGGCAGCAGGTGTAAGATGAGTTTAAAAGTGGGCAAAAGGGTAAGATAAGTACAAAAAAATGGCAAAAGAGCAAGGTAAATATAGAAAAATGAATGAAAAGAAGAATAATATCAAAGCAAAAAATGTTCATCTATATTATTATAGATAATATTAAGTTGTTCAAATAATTCTGTCGCCTTAACCCTGAAAGCTTGCTTTTGAGAAGCCACACAATTATTTGAACAACCTAATAAAATATAAAATGAAACAAAAAGTCTTGTCGTTAATTTACACAGCTTTAAACACTCAAAAACGACAAAACTTTTGCAACACTCTAATAAGAAGTTCAAAGCCCGTAATAATAAAACTAGAAACAACCCCAAAATTCCTTCTTCAATTCTAATTTAAAAATTTTTTTTTCCAATATTAATTTTTCTTCAAAATTTAAAAATAAACTCCCTTTCTAATACAATATCGAAAAAGCGTAAAAACTATAAGAAAACATGAAAGATGAAGCCGAAAAAGATGATTCAGACAACATTAATATCATTTTATACTTTCTGATAATGTATTTTACATCAAAACACAAAGTTTAGAAAGCTACAGTACGCTACTCAAATTTAAACGCAAAATTTAGATAATTATTTAACGTTTTACCAAGAAAGGTTAGGTTGTTCAAATAATTCTGTGCCCTCTAATCCCAAAAAATTGCTTTGAGAAGAAGCACAAAACCATTTCAACAACCTGATGGAACAAAAAAACACTCCCTAGCATATATTTTTTAGGAAAAAACGCCATACCCAATCTAAAACACTACTTTGTAACCAACCCTTGGCAAGAACTTAAAATACCAAAAACCATGCTTTGACATAACCACATAATAAACTTGAAAACAGGATAGCACGCACAACATACGACGACAACCATGTAAAGTGGAGAAACATACGACAACAACCATGTAAAGTGGTACTCGATAGACACGAAACGTTCAGGTGATATGAAGGGAGGAGAAACAACACGGCAACAAAAGTGAGAGACTCAGGAAACTTTAAGAACATGTCGTATCTATGGCATTTGGCAACGTTTTATTCAACAATAGTAATTCAAAACTTGAAAAAATACGTTAATTTCATTTTATTTTAACATTGAAAGAAAGGCTTTGAATCAAAATATTGACTCAACTTGTTTATGCCATAACTTTTTTCAAAAATCAGCTAGAATTTTGAAATTTCATTTCAATATAGATCATGCCCTTGGCCAATCAACCCCAAAAACAAAATTTCCAAATTACCAAAAATATCAAAGTTACAGTACTTTTGGCAGACCCTACTCAAAACGTATAATGGCACTTCATATACGACCTTTTTTAAATTCTGTAAAATTGAATTTTTTTAAATTCCATTTTAGAAAATAATTTTAAGGTGTTGCCAAATGCCATAAAATGAAATGTCATAATAGAAAACACATTGAAAACACTTACCTTGAGTTTGCGACGAGCATTGAATTGTCGCAAGCATTCCACAGTCTCTTGACGATGCACCATCGATGCAACGCGCTCACGGTTCTAAAGTATGACAATGTAAGTGATGTAAATGTAAAATACGTGTGGCCCATTTAGACACATCATAATTATCTTATATATTATATTTTTTCAAAAAAAATCAAAAATTTCAAATTTTAAAAAATTCGCAGAAAAATCAGCTTGGTCCCCCCCCCCTGTGTCAATCTTTTTGGCAAAAAAAGTTAAAATTTTTAAAGAGCTTACATACCATAAGTAATAACATAGCGTATTATACCATAAATAATAACTTACACAGATCCATGGCACCTTCAACGCTTCTTCAGCTGTGATTCTCTTCTTAGGGTTCAAGGTGAGCATACTGTCGATCAAACCCTTGGCTTCCGTGGTCACTGTATCCCATTCAGGGCTTGGGTACTAAAAGCAAAATCCTTATTCTCTGTATTACTTAAATTTAAAAAAAAACTACAAAATTCTAGCCTTTATCGCGTTTAAAATAGAAAAAATGTCCAAAAATAACAATTTTTCACCTAGAAATCCCTAAAAATCAAATTTTTTGAAATTTTAAAGCAAAAGTGTAAATTGAAATTAATGTAGGTTAAAAACAGGATATAGAGTAACATATTTGAAATAGCAAACTTACATCATAAGCACCGTTCTTGATCTGGCTGTACAATTTGTTCTGTTCGTCGTCCCAAAAGGGTGGGTATCCGACCAGCAAAATGTACAAGATCACACCTAAAACATAAGTTGTTATACATTGTATATATCGTAAAGTAAATAAATATATAGCATGATCAACATGACAAAAATGTTTAAAAAATCGACCAAAAGCCAAAAAAAATCACAAAATTTTCACAAAAATTGGTTTTTTTCAACTTTGTTACAGTATACTAAGCTTGAAATACCGTACATTACAATAAAACTACATAAAGAATATAGAATCCTTCGTAATATAAATCTAAAAAACCAAACCAAAACCTACCACAAGCCCAGATATCGACCGGTTTTCCATAAGGATCCTTGTTCAAAACCTCTGGCGACAAGTAGCCAGGAGTACCGGCAAATCCGTACCATGCTTCTTGATCGCTTTGCAATTCGATTGCCAATCCAAAATCAGCCAATTTAACAGCTGCTCCTTTAGCACGGCTAGCCAAGAGCAAATTCTCTGGCTTCAGATCACGATGAACGACTCCATTGGCGTGACAGTACGCAATCGACTCCAGAATCTGTTGGATACAGTGACTGGCGTCAGATTCGGAGTAGAATTCACGGCGGACAATATCTTCGAACAGTTCTCCACCCGTAACGCTGAAATTGGCCTTGAATAATACTGTCTTTGACTTAAAGTTTGATTATATTAAGGTAATATAAGCTTAAATCGCCATAACTTGCAGAAACTATTGATTTAGCCAAGAATTTAATAAATAATAATGTATGCCAAAGATTTTCTGATGTTTTCCACAAAATTTTACTTCCTCTACTGTGAACAATTGGAAATTACGATTAAAAGTGTCACTTACAGATCAAAAACAAGATAATGGAAGGCTTCTTCCTGTATATTGTCATGTAAACGCACAATGTTCGGATGCTTTAAGCGACGACATATCCTCGCTTCACGGTCCAACTTTTGAAGATCTGAAAAAGGCATTTTAAAAATGTTAAAATTAAAATGTTTTGAGTTTAAAGCTCTTTTATGAAGCGTTAAAAGCCGTTGAGAAGAATTTTACACAAGAAAAATAAAAAATAAAGTTTGCAAAATAAAGTCCAATGCATCTTAATCCATAAAATATTAATTTATGCGTTAAAAAGAGTCAAAAACATCTAAAACAATATCGAAAAACAGCGAAAAAAACAATTTTTTTCTGTTTTTTCGAGTTTTTTGGCATTTCGTCTTAACTTTTTGACACTTCGTCTCAATTTTTTTATCATTTGGTATCACTTTTTTGACAGTTTGAGACTAAAATACACACCTCTGGCATTCAACTTTCTGGTGTTGATGATCTTGGCCGCAAACTCCATATTTGTGGTCTTTTGGACACATCTTCGCACAACGGAAAAGGCGCCCCTAAAATGAGGTTTTTAGTGTAAAATACGAGGTGCAGGTGAGCGTTTTTTAAATTAAAAAAGTTTGATAGTCTAAATATTTCTATTTTTTTAAAAAAATTATTTTTTTAGCTTTATTTAATTTTTTTTAATTTTTTTAACTGTGCAAGCAAGTTTAGTCTTTGCACCGTACAATATTTGATCTAACGAATGCACTGTGCAGAATACAATATTTTTTTCAACTGTCATTTTAATATTGACTTTTTTATGTAAACTGTAAAAATGGCAAAATTTAAGCAAAATTTAATTAATTTTTATTTAAACTTTAATTTTAAAATTTGCAATGTGCATGCTTTATTCTTAAGTTGTTCAAATAATTCTGAGCTACTAACTTTGAAAGGGGGCACAGGAATTTTCGAACAGCCCAATAAATTTTTCAAGAATCAAAATTTTCGAATTTAAAAAAAAATTTTTTAATTAAAAAAAAATTAAAAAATTTTAAAAAAATTAAAAAATTAAAAACCCACTTTCCCAACTCCTCCTTGACTTCGTAGTTGTCGCTGAACCGGGTGGTGACTTGGTTCATATTGATTACCATACCTTGGAGGGCCTTTTCTAAAGAATTCACGGTTGGAGCGGCCACTTTGACAGTTCCTTTTTGATATTCTCGATCCGTGTGCCACTCTCAAACCAACATCTGTACAATGGGCAAGTTTGGGATTAGGCTTTGGGGGTTTCCTGAAGTTAAAAAAGTGTAAATATATGGAAAAGGCTTCGTTAAAAGTGTTGTAATGTGTGGATTTACACGGAAATTTCGTAAAATCGACCGGATATTGGGTAGTGTAACATGTTTGTGGGATTAGAAACGTCAGTAAGTGGTGGGAAATTGTAAATTCGTTTAAATATAACATATATATTGTAGTTCTTATTAAAAAATAGTTTTTGCACCGTGCAAAAGTTCAAATTTCCCGCCAAAATCAAAATTTTCTAAATTTTTAAAAATATAAACTTTTGTCCAAAAAACAGCTTTTTAATACCTAAAAATCTTTAAACATCAAAACCTCATATTATCATCGGTCAAAAATATCAAAATCGACCACTTTCATTCATAAAACTCAATAATATAGCCCAACATATGGCAATTACAACATTCGCAGGTAAATAAATGGATTTTGACACGAATCCCATGGCAGAAAGGAATGTCCAAAAAAGCCCATGCCGGCCTCGAAGCCGGAAATGACGCCAAAAGCCTTCCAAAACAGTCTTTGGCCATAAAAAGATAAGGACAGGCCATAAACCTTGAAGATAATGTCGAGGAAACGTTGTCGCAAATTGCATGTTTACGAGGAAAGACTGTGCCAAATTAGTACTGGGCGTGGAGAATGGGGTGTGGCATTAGATATGACACTTTTGAGGAAAAAAGGGTGTGCAGCGTAAAAGGAATTAAGGGGTAGAAAAGGGCAAGGTGAGGCAAAAATCCAAGGCTATATCTATAGCTAAGGCTTAGGTTCAAGCTCAGGTTAAGGCTCAAGCTCAAGCTTAGGCTAAGGCTCAGGCTCAGGCTCGGGCTCAGGCTCAGGCTTAGACTAAGGATAAGAGAGGCTAAGGTTCAAGCTCAGGCTCGTGCTCAAACTCAGGCTAAGGCTCAGACGCAATCTCAGAGCTTGAGTCCGGGTCAAGCTCAAGTTTAAGCTAAGGCTAAATCGAAAACTTAGGCTCAAGCCTAATCTGAAACTCACGCTAAACCTATGAATCAAAATAAGACTGAAGCCAAGACTAAGGTTAACAAGAGATAATATAACGGTATAACAAGCCACTGAAAACTGTCAAAACCCAAAACACTCGAGTAAAAAATGTCAAGTTCGAGGTAAACCCTCTGGTTTAAAATATTTTCTTTCAAAGTCACATAAAACTGGCTGACGGTCTCGAAAAAAGGAGACACCTGTCCCGATGAACAACAATAAACAGCCAGCATAATATTATAATATCATATTATGTGCGTCTACCTCTGATTGTCTACTATATCATAACATAGCTTTTGTATATGTACTTTTTACCATAATGGTATACATAAATTACTTTGGTCTACTCTACTTTTTACAAAATACTTTGTCCTACTCTAGCCTAATACGAAAAGTTAAGATTTCAAATCGTATGTTTAATACTATGCAGAGTACTATAAGATGCAATATCTGACCCCCAAAACGTATATATTATAGTAGTATAAGGTTCAAGATATTAAAAAATTGTTTGTGCAGCCAAAGTAATCTCCGACGGTAAACAATTGTAATCTGATATACGTTTTTAACGTATCATAAGCAAAGGTTATATAAGCCGGAAAAAGTGTCCAACATACGACTTTAAATGTTATTTTGAGACCCTACCCTACCCTACTTACCTTACCTTACCTTACTGCGCCCTACTCTACTCTAATCTACAGTATCTTACCTTACCCTACCCTATGCTGCTCTACCTTAGTCTATCCTACCTTAAAGTACCTTAACCTACCCTACTTACCTTTATCTTACTCTATCAGCTTTATACTATAAGATATCCTACCATGCCTTATCCTACCTTACCTTACTTTATCTTACCCTATACTTCCTCACTTGACCTTACCTTCCCTTACTATACCCCGCCCCCACTTTATGTTACCCTGCCCTACCATATCTTAGTTTATTATACCTTATCTTAGCATATCTTGTCCTACCCTACCTTAAATTATCTTTTCCTACCCCACTCACACCCCCCCCCCTCCTCATCTTCTACCTTACCTTGCCTTTTACAAAAAAAAGAATTCAAAATTCCAACTTTTTTTTAAAAAAAACCACCCTCAAAAATTGAAAAACGGTTTGAAAGTAGTTGTTTTGAACAGTTTTTGTTTGAGGAAAGGGCCTAATAAAGCCGTCAAAGGGGGAAAAACGGAAGCCCAACTTGTCCGGACGAATATCGCCCTCAAAAAGTCATTCATTCATTGCGGGTTGTTGTTGTGGATAATTTGTCAAAAAAGAAAAGTATTTAAATAACAGAAAACAAAAAGTTATGCAATTCGAATGAACTACCCATATTAAGGGGGGGGGGGCTTCGCGGAGGAAATAAGGAACGATCGTATGTTTGGAAATGGAGCTGTAATTCTAATGGCGTTTAAGCGAATATGGAAATTAAGAGGTCTGAAAGAAAAAGGGCTTTACTGTCAATATTATATTCATAGTTAAAGTTAGAATTTACATTACTTTTTTGTAAAAATTAAGCTTTAAACACAAAATATCTTTAAAAAATTAAGAAATCAGCCAAAATGACAAAGTTTAGCACACATTTTCTTAAGTTCTAAACTTGCTAAAAGAAAACTGTTTAATCTACCTTTACGGACATCTTAGTGTAAACCTAAATGCTAATTTTTTTACTGATTTCATCAGCTAGTTTTCCAAGTAGACTCAAAAGACTAAAAAGCATCAAAATTTATAAAAATAAACAAAATTTTAAAAAATAATATCTTTTTTCATAATGTGCCAATAATAATAAAACTTGACAGAAATGTTAATCATGGTATAGCCTAATAATGAGTGAATTTAGAACCGATGTTAACTTTTAGTTTTCGAGATATAGCAGCAGAACGTGCCAAGAAGCCTTTAAAATGCCCATAAACTTGCAAAGACTCCTCTCTCCGTATTTTACTTAAAAATATATAAAACACAATAAAAAATTTTAAGAAACGGTTTTGTTCCCGTACTCTATAAATACGGATACTCAATTTTGAAAAAGCTTAAATTCAAATTTTTAAAAAAATTTTTAATTATTAGTTTCTGACAAAAAATTTATTTTTAATGCTAAAAAATAGTTGAAAGTGCTTTTCAGATATGTTAATATAACTGCTACTTACTCTTATATGGCAAAAACCAAGTTTTCGCTCTTGCCCTAGGTCTGTAAAGAGGCCGGGTCTAATGGCTCTCTTTCTGGTACCAGTATAAAAAAATTTAGGTCCCGCAACGACAACCTGCACAACCCTGTTCCTCATTCAGAAAAACAAATGCTTCAAAAAATCCGCAACAACAACATCCACAACCTTGGTCCTCAACCAGAAAAAAAAACATGTTAGGTCCCGCAACGACAACCTTTACAACTCCAGTGGTCCTCATGATTGAGGCCACACCCAAAAAACCGTCTTTTCGAATATCTTTGCGATATTATGTAAAGTATATTTACGCAAAAGACCGGCCAGCATACATGCATTAATATATAAAATTGAGAAGAATACATTAAAACAGAGTATTTTCTACTGCTGCCGGCCGTCCTTTTCGAAACATAAGTCCCCCCCCCCTTTCCCCAAAAAAGAGCATTTATCACGGCGCCCGTAATGGACAGCTGGGGGGGAGGGGGGAAGGGAAAAGGCGTAATGGACAGAGTACGAACCTCTTCTCGAGACGTGCTTAAAGGTTGCAGACGGGTCTGGTAGAAGTGGCCTAGTCAATAATATTGTTCTTCACAGTGGGGAGGAGGAGTACGTATTTATACTGAAAATTTGAGTATTGAGAGTTGAAGTAATATTGAGGTTTGCCATAGGTCATACTAGCCCAAAGCCTTAGCACAAAGCCTTAGCCCAGCCCAGCCCAGAGCCCAGAGCCTAGCCCAGAGCCCAGCCCAGAGCCCAGCCCAGAGCCCAACCCAGAGTCCTATCCCAGAGCAGTAGCCCAGATTCCTAGCCCAGATTCTAAGCTCAAAGCCCAGAGCCCAGAGCCCTAGCCCACTGCTTTAGCCCACAGCCCAAGACCCTAACCCCAAAGCCCTAACTCAGACTAAGATAGCTTTAGGCTTAGTTTTAGCCCTATCTAGACCTAGATCTAGCTCTATCTTGAGCTCTAGCTCTAGACTCAATCTTTCTATATCTTAACCTCCTACAAGCTTTGCAGCCTCCAAAACTAACATTAGTGCATCAAAAACTGTCGTAATGTCAATCCGCAGCATTCAATCAAAACCTACTATAATACATTGTTAATTAAAAATTTGTAATGTAAATAGATAAATCAAGTAGATTGATTACTATTCTATTAAATAAAAATTTAATTGAAGCAATATTAATATACAAGCACTGTCATATGTATTATGCATGTTAATAACCGTACATAATATTTGATCAAGACTTATGTACGCTAATTAACATAAACAATATCAGACGTTAAAGCTTTTAATGTCTTATTTAAATTTTACATTGGCACGACTGTTGGGTACTGAAAGTTAAAGTACTATTAAGTTTTGCAATGGCATATACCAGTCCTAGTCTTAGCCCGGCGTATAACAATAAAAAATTTTAAAAAATATTTATAAACTACTGTAATATAGTATATTATAAGTGTACAACATATAAATATAGATGAAGTAGTGTATCAACGTATATAAAACAAAAAAGTACATAAGTTAAAAACAACCAAGTATAATAGTTTTTCAAAATATATTTACGTATGTAGCTGCATACGTAAACGTAAAGTAAAACTAATCTGCGATTTACATTAAATTGTATTTTTAGAAATACATATATGTTACCTATATACTTAAAAATCAAAAAAACATATTTTTATACAAAGTGCAAAGATAAACAACTTG